TGTGTGGGGGGGGTCTCCAATGTGTGTGTGTGTGGGGTCTCTCTGCTGTGTGTTTGTGTGGGGGGGGGGTCTCTCTCCTATGTGTGTGTGTGTGGGGGGGTTCTCTCCTGTGTGTGTGTGTGTGTGGGGGGGGGGGGGTCTCTCTCCAATGTGTGTGTGGGGGGAGGGTCTCTCTCCTGTGTGTTTGTGGGGGGGGTCTCTCTCCTGTGTGTGTGTGTGGGGGGGGTTCTCTCCTGTGTGTGTGTGGGGGGGGTCTCGCTCCTGTGTGTGTGTGGGAGGGGGGGATCGCTCCTGTGTCTCTTTGTCCTATCTCTGTGACACTGTCTGTCTCTGTGTGTGTCTCTCTCTAACTGCATGTGTGGTCTGTCTCTCTATCTGTGTGTGTATCACTCTCTGTGTGTGTGTGTCACTCTATCTGTGTGTGTGTCACTATCTGTGTGTGTGTCACTCTATTTGCGTGTGTCTCCCTCTAGCTGTGTGTGTTACTCTATCTGTATGTGTGTCACTCTATGTGTGTGTCACTCTATCTGTGTGTCACTATCTGTGTGTGTGTCACTCTATCTGTGTGTGTCTCCCTGTAGGTGTGTGTGTCCCTCCATCTGTGTGTCCCTCTATTTGTGTATGTATGTGTGTGTGTCCCTCTATCTGTGTGTATGTGTGTGACCCTCTATCTGTGTGTGTATGTGTGTCCCTCTATCTGTGTGTGTGTGTCCCTCTATCTGTGTGTATGTGTGTGTCCCTCTATCTGTGTGTGTGTATCCCTCTATCTGTGTGTATGTGTGTGTGTCCCTCTATCTGTGTATGTATGTGTGTGTGTGTGTCCCTCTATCTGTGTGTATGTGTGTGTATCCCTCTATCTGTGTGTATGTATGTGTGTGTCCTTCTATCTGTGTGTGTGTGTGTGTGTGTCCCTCTATCTGTGTGTGTATCCCTCTATCTGTATGTATGTGTGTGTGTATCCCTCTATATGTGTGTATGTATGTGTGTGTGTCCTTCTATCTGTGTGTGTGTATCCCTCTATCTGTGTGTATGTATGTGTGTGTCCCTCTGTCTGTATGTGTGTGTGTATCCCTCTATCTGTGTGTATGTATGTGTGTGTCCCTCTATCTATGTGTGTGTGTGTGTATGTGCCTTCTCTCCTGTTGCATCTCCTCTCTTTGTTGCCGCCCCAGTTCTGCAGCTGACATCATTGCCGGGAGCGCGCTCGGGTACGCGGATCCCACTCCATCACCTTGTGGGTTGGCGGCGGCGGCGGCGGCTCGGTCCCCGGGAGAGAGACAGACAGACAGACAGACAGAGAGAGAGAGACACGGAGACAGGGACAGGTAAGTGCAGCTGCAAACACACGCCCTTTTCTCATCATTGCATCCCTCGGGGTGATGGAGCTTCATCAACTTGCCCTGTACCTGCAGTGAGCATCCAGGTGTGGATCATTGTCTGCAGGTTCGCTCTCAGCCACAATCCTGCCATCAGCATTCAACCTGAGAGGGCGTTTATTGTGGAGATGTGACCGGTGTCTGGCCACACCTGGAGGGGGAGAGAACACTCTGGAACAACTCTCCCTCTATCCCTCCGCCTTGCCCCTTCCATCCCCATCTTCAGGTCAACCCTGAGGTCCTTCGTCTTCAACCGGTCACCTCCCCNTTCCCCACGGCTCAGCATCGTGCTCCGCCACCGTCAAGCGCTCTGGGACGCTACCCTGCGTGTGGGGCGCTGTGTAAATGCAAGTTGCTGTTGTTGTTGAGAGTTGGGTTTCCTGGTTCCATGTTCCTTCAGCTATGCTCAAGCTATATTTATAGCAATAATAATTATTGTTTGCAGGTTATTGTTGTCGAGCATAGTGACTGTGTATTTGGTAGACAATTTTTTTTTCAGATTGCTTGGGAGGAGCTTTGTTTTGGGATTGGTGGGCAGATGCAACAAACAACTTGCATTTATATAGCGCCCTCCATGCGGGTCAGCGTGACAGAGTACTAACGCACTCTCAGATATTTGTGTGAATCGGGTGCTGTATTTACCTTTGCCTGCGCCACTCCTCAAAGTTGCTGTGTGTAATTTGGCTGTCAGAATAGCCACTTCAGTTGACAACAATGACATGTGCAGTGCTTTGAGACATTCCCGCATTATTTCCTTATACCAAATAGAAGAATCATTAAGTGCTCCGAGATGCTACCCTGCATGAACGACGCTGTATAAGTGCAAGTTGTTGTTTATACTTAGGCAGGGCCAAGTTGGACTGGGGATAGTTGTGGGTGGTGGTGGGGGGGTGTTGTGCGTGTATGTGAAGGAGGTTTATCAGGTCGATATTCGGATGGTTGATTGGCTGTGGTGGTGTGTTGTGCTGAGGGACATGTCTGCAAAGCTGCAGTCAGGTGGGGGCCAGTTGGGCGCTGATTAATGTTTGGGGATTGATATCTGACAGAGCAGATGGAAAGTGGACGAGTCTCCCAGGGGCGGTTAATCATTAAGATTAACCCTTTCACAATTGGAAGGAGGGTCTGCACCACCTGAGATAGACACTGAATCCACAAATCTTTAAAGAAAAACAAATACTTTAACTTCTCCACAGTTTTGTCAGCTTTTCAAATAAAGAAATTGCAATTATACCCTCTAGTCAGTACGGACACTGAGGGGATCCTGTCCCATTCAGTGAGCAGGCATCACTTTACGACCTGCTGTCTTTTGCCACAGCTCTTGCTCCTGCAGTCCTTTCTATTGTGCACTGCACACAGGATGACGCTTTAGAGCAGATGATGGAACTCTATGACAAGACATTATAAAGTCAACAAATCTGCTTGAGTGAGTGAGTAGCAAACGGTTGGAACAGGCTCCCTAAGGAGATGGTGGAATCAGAAAGTGTTGTTTGTTTCAAGAACAAATTAGATAGATTTCTGGTAGAAAATAATATCTTGGGATACAGTATATAGTTTGGGACACAACATGTCAAGAGACTACCAGGATAGTAGAACAACAACAACAACAAGATTGCATTTATAGAGCGCCTTTCACGTCGGGAGGACGTCCCAAGGTGCTGGACAGTTGGGTCGGGACCCGAGCATTGGGGAAATGGTCAGGGTGAGGGGAGGGAAGGGAGGGAGCGAGGAGGGAGTAGAGAGTCAAGAGGGGAGCTGAAGGCACGGTAGAAGGCAAACTAGATGGACCTTGGTCTTCTTTCATCTAGTAAACTCTTTTGTTCTTAAGTCCCACAAGGATGAGACAAGCAGAAGATGGTTGGGAGCTGAATGGAGGTTAACTCAGAGAGAATGAATGCTTTTGTACTTTAGCTATGCTTATTCTGAGTTCTATATTTCTGACTGCTCTCATAGGACATGGCTCACTGGCACCTGCTATCTCCATTCCTTCTCTTTCTCTTGACGTTTGATGCTATCAGCCAGGTGCGTGCATTCGAGGCTGGAACTAGAGGAAAGAAAAGCACAGCAAAGCCCCCCACCAGCAGCAGCAACAACCTGCAAAGAGCAGAACATAGCCACAAGCATGGAGCACAGAGAAAGGACAAGGTGAGGAGACTGGTGACCCGAGTGTTAGAGGCAGGAGGGCCGGAGGAAGAGAGTGCCGGACTGGCGAGTCTCACTCCAGTAAGAGTGGAGATGGGCAGCCGTGAGCGACCAGCAGGCCTGCGGGGAGAGAGAACTGAAATGTACCCACGCTTCTTTCCTCAAGAACTGAACTACCCAATAGAGCAGCCAGGGACCAAAGGGAAAAGGCACAGAGAGAAGAAGGGGTCGCGGAGGGAACGAGCCCGGCACAAAGGTGGTAAGAAGGAACTAAGAATATTTCTTTGTAGGGAGAGAAGGTTATTCTGGTAAAGCCAGGAATGTCATCTTTTACATGATGCAAAGCGTTCTTTTCTTGTTGCAATCAAGGGACCTGAAATCCTTAGGCAGTAACATCACTTTTGCTTTAAAATTTAAGTTCCAAGCGATCTTAAAATTGAAAAACAACTTATTTTATGGACTTGGTGGGATTTTGGGGACTAAGTTGAGGATGAACCGACCTGATTTTAATTTGTTCTATAAAATACCTGTTATATAAATTGAAGAGATATTGAGAGAAAAACATAACTAGTGATAGCTATGAACATGATCACTTGCTGCAGTTATATAAAATAGTGTTTTTGTTGGGATTCTATCAGTGAGCAGCTCTGATACTGTAGTGGAGAGTCCTGCAGCTTCAAGACTAGGAGCTCGCTGGGATGAATCCTTGTCCGTGCTGAGTTTGTATGGGAAGGCTAAATTAATCTCTGCTTTCCCAGGGTTAGGGAGGGGAAAAGCAGCTAGGGTTCCTGCTCCTGCCCCCTCTCCTGGTTGTGCGCGTGTGTGTGATGCATCCCCAGGCTCGCCTATCATCACATATCAAAATTGGGTGGGGCTACTGAGGGCACTGCACCCCCAGCCTGAGGTCAGAATGGGGAGAAAATTAGAAAAATAATTGGACATTCATTTTCTATATTAAAAAGATTCAATCAGGGACAATGAAGAGCTCTGTGATGTGTTCGCAGTTTGATGATTCTTCAGTATCCCTGTCCCAAATATTTCCTCCAATTATGTTTCCGAGCTTGGAGTCCTTCCCTCAGGGCTCAGTTACACATTCTTGTTCAATTGCCATTTGGGATTTACCTCACTTAAAACAAGTTGCAGCTGTGATGGGCTTTGTGTCAACTGAGACAATTTTAATGTTCGTCTGAAGCTCCTCCCTAGGGCAAGTTAATAGATATGTGTCTGCCAATCTCTTGCTGCGGGGCATGGCGAATGTATGTGTCTCATCACCAGCAGGAAAGTCCTTCCTTACTAAGTCTGTTCTACATGGTAAGATTATCTGTTTTGCTCAGTGTAGGCGAATCAACATGCTTTGTGTGAGAGACATGAGAAGTCAACATCACTGACTCTGGCTGAGGTGTGCTCTTCCATCATCACACGTCGCACACCCACCTTGGAGGAGTGGTGAGGGTTGGGGGCGGCAGGAGATACTGGCATCCAGAATCCCTAGTCTTATGTGTGCGTGTGAGGGGGGCTGCGTGGCTGTGGATGTATGACTGACTTCTCTCTATGCTCTGATAATAATAATCCTCGCGTTTGATATTCACGTCTTCTAGATGTCTCAAAGTGCTTCACAGAATATACTGTAAAGTGAATTGACTGTATATTTGTGGGCGAAATGCAGCAGCCAATTGCACACAGCAATGCCCCACAAACAGCCATGGATTGAGTGACCAAATTATTATTAGTTGTGATGTGTCACATATTCAGGAATCCTTGACTATGGAGCTCTGTGAAATCAATCAAAGCCACCACCAGGAACAAAGTGAAGCCCAATAACAACAACACGAACAACAAAATTACATTTGTATAGCGCCTTTCACATTGGGAGGAGTTTTGGACCCAAGCTGGGGGTTGGGATCAAGGAGAGTGGAGGGCGGGGGGGGGGTGGGTTGAAGAGGAAGGTCTTAAGATGGGTCTTGAAGGAGGTAAGGGAGGGGCCGAATTGTATTTACAGTATAAATGTAAATACAAACTTACATTTATACTGCGCCTTTCTTAAAAGGTACTGGCTTGGCATCCGAGCTAGGGGTCGGAGCCGAGGGGAGTGGAAAGGGAAAAGATGACCGAAAGTATGATCGAAGAGGTAGGTCTAGAGGCGGACTTTAAAGGAGGTAATAATAATAATCATCTTTGCTCTTTAAATAGTGCCTACAAAGTCAACATCTCTGAACTTCATAATGATAATTGTCAGCTTTAGTGACCGTGTTGGTGTCAATCAGACCAGTGGGAGGGAGAGGACGACAGCATCTGGCTGCGATGGAGTGAATGACCAATAATTATTCTGGAGGAATTGTTAGCCAAGATATTGGCAGATACTCATTTTTCTTTCCAAACAGTGTTCCAGAATCTTTCTCCTAAACCTGGTCAGGAAGACGTCAAGACCTGAGTTTAACATCTTCCAAAGGTTGGTATCTCCACCATCGCCGCTAGGTGGCGCCATCCCCTCCACCATCCCTCTGGTCTGATTGACCCCCATTAGCACAACCCAAAGATTTGTCAGTGATTTGTCAGTGAACGCTGCCTGTTCCCCAATTACAGGCCAAGGTCCGGCCAGTAGACCAACCGTCCCCTCCAGCCTTCCCTCAGGCTGCAGAACAAGTCACTCAGTCGATGCAGAACAATGTTGGCAGCTGCAGGGCTGGAAATTGTGACATTTCATGAACAACCAGTACTCATGAGAGGAAGTGTTCGGGAGGCACTGAGCTTCTCATGTGCTTTCTGAGAAACTAATTACTATAATTAAAGCTCTGAGAATCTATCCCACGTGAAGGGCGCTATATAAATGCAAGTTTTGTTCTTGTAAAGGTCTGTGTATAATATCTGTTGAGACTGTAACTAAACCAGCGACTCTGTAATTAAACCAGTGATTTCTGGCTTTCACTGCAGTGTATCTCCACGCTCTGAAATTCAACTTCGCAACATAAACTGGGACATTGAGTTTCAGTATCTTTCTATCCGAGATACCCTAATTGAGGTGTGTAAACACACCCACAGTTTCTACATTTGAGTACATACTGCCTAATGTAGTAAAAAAANCCTTGTATTTAATTTAGCACCTTGTGTCATTGAGTTCTATTGTGAAGTGTAGTGACATGGTATTTTGTGGGCGAAAGCGGCATTCAATTTGTAACAGCAGTGCCCCATGAACAGCTGTGAAATGAGTGAACAATGTTATCAGAGGGATTGTTGGCCAGGAGATCGAGAGAGAGACTTCCTGTAGCTTACAATGCAGATCTTGTAGTTCCATCCTGACTACAATGTCCAGGCTCAGTTTATAGTACTTGTTTGTTGTCTGCAGTTCACTGTTGGGATCCCTTGATCTATATCATTACCTTCTCCCAGCAGGCAAATTCCCAGATGCTGAGCTAATCCCATTTTTCAAAGACGTGGAGATTTTTCAGGATTGGCCACAAAGCACAGCGTCAGACCAGCCTTCAACCACAGCTGTGCCCCCGTCCATCCCCATGGTGACGACCACACTGGTGACCACCATCACAACAGAGGAGGTACCAGTAGCGCCACCGGTAGGCAAACGCAAACAGGTAATCCAGGTAGTCCCAGGTAACGTGTCTATACTAATACCTGATTGTCTCACTTGAGAATTTCCAGTGATGTATTTCTGGGGGAACACAGAGAGATCCCCACCCACTAAACATGAACCTGTTTAGGTCACAAAACCCAAACTGCTTTTGATTCTAAAATCTGTGGGAGCGGCGGAAATGCACTCAAATGATGGCACCTGCAGTATTCAGAACTCTGCTTTAATCTTATTATGGATAGATCTGCATGTTCCATAAACCCTCATTATTTATCACAGCTACAGTCTGGCCTCTATGTCCGCCTGGAATCAATTATTTACCTGGCTCAAATTGCTCTCACCTTTCTCTCTGATGCCTCTTTATCAACTGTGTTCTGTGCGTCTTTTTCCCCCTTATTTCTGTCCTTATTTTTTCATTTGTTAATCTCTCCAACATCCATCCCTCCCTTCCCATTTCTGTTCCCCACCCCTCCACCCCCCTACACTCTTTGTTTACCACTGTGCAGGTGGCTGGGTGGAGAGTCAGGGAGGTGAACCCCACCCTTGACATGACCCTATTCGACTGGACAGATTATGAAGATCTGAAACCGGAGTCATGGCCTGCAGCGAAAAAAGGTAACCGTACCCCCTGCTATATACCCCCCCACCCCCACTCCACCACCACCACCGAATAAGCAGCCCAACCATGTGGGAAGCAACAGTTTTGACAACATATGGTCTGAATGCTCTGTGAATGAAGTATTTACAATAGCAACAACTTGTGTTTACAAGGCACCCTTCACTCAGGGTCAGGTCTCGGACAGCTTCACAGTGTCAGACTCCTCTCCCTGCGGAAAGTCAATAATCCTTGCATCTGATACAGCGCCTTTCACATCGGGCAGATATCTCAAAGTACTTCACAGGATTTACTGCAAAGAGTAGTGACTGTGTGCTTGGCAGGCCAATGTAGCAGCCAATTTACACACACTGCAAACAGCAATGAAGTGTATGCCGGATTTTTTTTTGTGTCTGGGAAATTTGTTAGATAGCCTACGAAAGAAACCTGAGACTGCATGTGGCGTCCCTTACTGTGCAGAGCATGTTAAAGCGGAGGTGCTGAGGACGTTTAGTTCAGGGCAGTTACAGATGTAGCTCTAATACAGCGTGAGGCACCGTGAAACAATGCAGATATTTTTAGCATTTTTTTTCTCACAGAGAAACGACGCAGCAAGAACATGAGCTATGGGAATCTGACCTCCGTGGCTGGAGTGGAGCCGTGCGACCATCACCTGGACTGTCTCTCTGGTACCTACGCTTACTGTTCACTTTCAGCCCTGACCACTCTCTGCATGATTCTTTCTCCTTTTTAGGGCACATTTCAGCCGAGGTGTCGGGACTGCCAGATCAACCCTCAGGCTGGACCAGTCCCTTAACACGTTGCACAGCTGAGACCAGCTCTGCAATTGAATAACAAAGAGTATACAATTGTGGTGTCTGTGTTTGGTCAATGAGCTCAAACAGTCATTCCCATGTTTCTGTGTCCGCGTGCTCAGAGCATGTTCACTTGACATTTCTCCCCCACACACATTGTTTATAATTACAGTAACAAGCTGCCGGAAACTGATCTGTCCCCAGTGATAATTCCCCAAGAGGAGCAGTGAGCAGAGAGCATGCAGTGGCCCTCTCATTGCTTCCGTGTTACATTGCTTCTGTACAATGTCAATTTGACAGTGAGATTGTGTGCATGTATCCATATACGCTTATCTATGTGTGTTGTGTCTATATATATACACACACGCAGTCTATATGTTTGTATTTGTGCATGTGAATATTTGTCTGGTTGTGTGTATGTGTATCTCCCTTGCCCCGTCTGTGCGGTGCACTGTAAAATTCTCATAGACTTGTAAACTATTTAAACGCTTGGTCATTGTATGAGGTTTGTGGGCCAAGTGTTTAGCTACTAATCCCACAATCCCAGATCAGGTCCTTGTGGTTGAACCACTTCTGTTTCTCTCACCTCAGGTTCATGCTGTGATTTACGGCAACACATCTGCAAACCCCACAACCGTGGTCTCAACAATAAGTGCTATGATGATTGCATGTGTGCAGAAGGTGAGTGATGTTCTGGAGGTAGTGCTCTGCCCAGAGGAACACAGTGGGATTTGGACCCTGCAGTTCAGGGTCAGAGGTTCACCACGGACACTAACTTCTGTCAGTCTGGCTCAGTTTGGTATGCTCTCGCCTTTGAATCAGAAGGTTGTGGGTTCAAACCCATGTTGGGGAAGTCGAACATGTAGTCTAGGTAGGCTGACATTCCAGCAAAGTGCTAAGGGAAGTGCTGCATTGTTACTTTGGATGAGACATTAAACCCAGGTCCCGTCTGTGCACTGTTCAGGTGAACATTAAAAATCTTGCAGCGCTGTTTCAAAGAGAAGGGAATTTTCCTCCCGGTGTTTTGGCTGATAAAGTGACATAGTTGAAGGGAATTATGGTAAGCAACGCAACACATTAATACTAGTTATTGAGGTGATGAGCTGTGTTCTAGAGTTCTAGAGTGAGAGAACCCAGAAAGTAGCATTCCTTTCACCTCCACTGTGTCTTTGCCAGGACTACGCTGCTACGCCAAGTTCCACCGGAACCGCAGAGTGACACGACGGAGAGGCCGCTGCGTAGAACCAGACTCAGCAAACGGTGACCAGGGTTCGTTCATTACAGTCTGACAACCCCCACAGAATCCACCCCCTTGTGAATATTCCTGATCGAATCCAGAACACATTGGCAGCTGGCCCCATAAAATATTGCCGTCTGGGCTCGGCAACGCACTCCAGGCAGCCTCAACATTCCTTATTGGGACAATTCAATGCAGGCATCGTACCCATCCTCTCCTCAAGGTTGGGGGGAAGGAGGACTAAGCAATGTCATAGTATCTGTGTCGTATTGCATGTGATTTGTGTAGTGACTGAGCGCGTGTGTGCTTATTGGTTTCTGATTAATTTAATGTCGGCCAATAAAAAAAACTGTTACAAAAGGTTTCGGTTTTGTGATTTGTTCTCCCACCCCCCACCCCCCCCACCTGATCGTGGTGAAGCTTTTAATACTATTTCCCACTTCTACTCATATTCAGGTGTCAACTTGGTTCAGTCGGTCACGTTCTCACATCTGAGTCGCAAAGTTGTGGGTTCCCCCATGTGTGAGAGTTTGAGCTCACAGTACAATACTGGGGCGAGTGACAGCGTCAGAGGTGCTGAGGACGTTAAACTGAGTCTGTGCCCTGCTCAAATGGATGTTCACGATTTCATGGCGCTATTGGGGGAAAAAAAGGGAATTCTGGCTGACAATCCTCCAGATATGATTCCTCATTCACTTCCAGGCAGTGTGTGGGACATTGCTGTGCGCAAAAGTGGCTGAAGCAAACCTACAAACTACAGTTACTGTTCTCCTGTGTCGAACATTGTGAGATTCTAACCATGTGAGGAAGCGCTGTGTCAAATGTAAGGACTATTTTTATGACCTGTCTGTGGGTTTTGAGGAAAAACCCACCAACCTCTCTCTAGGACCCCGGGCCGCGGACCACGCGCCAGTGAGTGTCCGAGTCACGTGACCCGCCAAGCCAGCGGGAGTCACGTGGTGCAGCGGGTGGTCGGAGTGGCGACCATGGAACTCCCAGTGGTCAGCCTGAAGGTAAGGAGCCGCCAGGACAGCGAGCGCTGCGCCACTCCCCTCCCCTCCCCTCCCCTGACAGTCTGCCCGGCTCGGCTAATGTCTGTCAGTTAGGCAGGGGATAGGCCTTAACGGCGGTGTGCAATGTAAAGGGGCGAGTACACATCTGCTGAGCAGATGTTAGCTCTGTGCCCTGGGTGTGTGGGCAGCTCCGGCCCCGGGTGAGGTCAGACCCGGTCAAGGTGTTGCCTCAGTGAGGCTGAAGCTAACGTGGCAGCTTTGCCGACCTTTCTGCCTCTCCCCCTCACCCCCCCACCTCTCCCCCTCACCCCCCCCACCTCTCCCCTCACCCCCCCACCTCTCCCCTCACCCCCCCCCACCTCTCCCCCTCACCCCCCCACCTCTCCCCTCACCCCCCCCACCTCTCCCCCTCACCCCCCCCACCTCTCCCCTCACCCCCCCCACCTCTCCCCTCACCCCCCCCACCTCTCCCCTCACCCCCCACCTCTCCCCTCACCCCCCCCACCTCTCCCCTCACCCCCCCCACCTCTCCCCCTCACCCCCCCCCCACCTCTCCCCCTCACCCCCCCACCTCTCCCCCTCACCCCCCCCACCTCTCCCCCTCACCCCCCCACCTCTCCCCCTCACCCCCCCCACCTCTCCCCTCACCCCCCCACCTCTCCCCCTCACCCCCCCCCACCTCTCCCCCTCACCCCCCCATCTCACCCCCCATCTCTCTCCCCAGACTTTCCAGCGGAGGCTAAAACGAATCCCAAATTTTCAGCGCAAATTGGCACTTACGAATGATGTGAAGTGTTTTGAGATATCCTCCCGACCTTAACGCCGCTATATAACTTGCGTTTTGCCCACAAAGTATAGTTAATTCACTTTACAATATATTCTGTGAAGCGCTTTGAAACGTCTCAAAGACATAATAAGGTGCTATATCAAAAGCAAGGATTACTATTATTATTCTTGTATTAAATGTAGGGTTATTAAAATGCAGTTTAATTTAGAGCTACCATAGGGATAGGGTTGTCCTCAAGACAAGTTTTTGGCCAGTGTAGATTTATTCTAGATCCAATCTCTGCTGTCAATACCCTTGTGCAAAGCACTGACGTACGTTGATAAGAGTAAATCAATAATAATCCTTGCATTTGGTATATCACGTTTTACTTCTTATCTCGAGTAAATACACTGCCCCAAAACGTATCACATCGGATGTCTCAAAGCGCTTTACAGGTTTCCTGTCACGTGCAGTGACTGTTTTGTAGGTGTATGTAGCATCCAATTTTCCGACAGCAATGCCCCGAAAACAGCAAAGAAATAAAAAGTCAAATCGCTTTCTGCTGTCCGCAAACAGCCAGTTAAAGAGCTGTAGGTTGTTCGGGCTGAGGACATGAATCCTGCTCATCTGTGCCCGTTTCATTAATGAGGCATAGGCTCAATGTGCTGTTGGGATTTGGTGAGAAGGACACAAAAGCAGCTTGTTTAGGAAAGCTAAGATTCATATAGAATGGTTCACAGTCTATTCAGAAGCTGTGGATTAGGTCTCTTCCAGCATGATATGACTTGACCTGGAGGATCTTCTTAGATACCCATGATGGCCAAGCAGACGAGGTTGGGCCAGGCCGTACGAATCATTCTGGATTTGTGGAAGTTGCTCTTTTGGGCTTTGTTTATAGTGTAAGTGTCTTGTGGATGAACTGGATTTTCTTCCCACAGATGATCCTCATAGTCCACTGGCTCCTGACAACTTGGTAAGTGATGGATACTTGAATCTTTTATTTGCTTTTCCTCCAACCGACTGGTGAATACTACTACTAATAATAATCAAATCTTGTATCTGAGTGCCTAGATCATTGGAATTCACAAAGAGCTTCACAGGTAATTGCTATCAAGTGAAACGATTGGGTTTTTGTAGGCAAACACAGCAATCAATCGGCAACTGATCTGTGATCAAAATCCTATTTGTAGAATACACTTATTTTATATTTGCACCTTTTCCCACTGAAACCAGTGCTTATACAAACAACATCAGCCAGTGTTTATATAAAAATATTGCAAATTGGAAAATACTCAACATTATTCTGGAAGGCTCCAGATTCTGATTCTGGTGCAGAGAGGTTACAATAACAACCTGCATTTATGTAACGCCCTCACACATGGTAGCATCCCAGTCTGTCAAAACCTTCCACTTGTATCTTCTTCAGTGAGTTCAGTTCCTGAACAATGCATTTAGGATCACTGGCTGACTTGTGATAACAACAACTTGGATTTATACAGTGCCCTCTACACCGGACGGCATCTCAGAGCGCTTCACAGTAACGGATTACGGGACCAAACCAGGGGGAGGGGGAGGAAGGTGACCAAAAGAAAGGTCGAAAAGAAAGGTCTTACTCAATCCTTTAAAACAATGTTTTCTTTCAGGAGTAATGTTGTCCCAAAGAAAGCCATTCTTGAAAGCTTTCCAGTTTGTTCTGTGAAGGAGAGCCTGTTATCCTCCGCTAGATCCCATAGTTATTACTTAAAGATGCATCAGAATCATGTTGTGGTGCTCAAAAATAATTGTGTTTGTACAAGGGCTGAACGTTAAAGGAAGAAAGAGTCAAGATGTTTGTCCCTTAACTTCTAAGCTTTTCCTGAGTTTACAATATTTGAAATTTCACAAGTAACTGTGATCTTTGGGAGACTGGAAAGATAAAGAATTTGCATTTTTGTGGGCGATAATATCAGAATATCTCATAGTAACTACTCTTTTGTGCAGTGACCGTGTTTTGAATGCAAAAAAACACGTTAATGCAAGTTTGTTCTGGTGTGAGTGCAACCTGCTCCTAAAAACAGCCAAGCTTCAAACCAGAAGCGATTAAGATGCACTTGTTTCATGTTTGCAAATCAAACACAGCTTTGTGCAACACAGTGATGGAAATCAGAGACGCAGCTGTGTCTGGGTTGTGAAATTTATTTTACAAAAGGTGAAGCTGCAACATCTGATTGCAAACTCAGAGCGGTTTAACTCCATCAGTGACACGCTCCCTGCAGAGGTCTCAGAGCAGAATATGTGCTCTTTGTGTTAGTTGAATAGGGACATGATTGATTCATCCCAAGGCAGTGCATAATTATTCTGCCTGTGTCCATGTAACTGCTGCTGTTGTGTGCAGGCAGGTGGATGTTTGCATAAAGCACAGAAGGAGAACGGCACTTGGCTCTTTGTACCACGCACAGTGTTATCCTCCAGGTCTCTCCTGAATTTAATCAGTGTTGTAACGACCATGAAATGCACCAGATGTCGGATTTCCCTCCAACTGAAAAATGTACATAAAGTACATACGTGATGCAGTGTCCTCTGGGCAGGAACCCGCTTGGCTTTCGTCATTTCAAGCTCTGACCATAATAATCTCTCCCAATCGTTCACTGCAGCTCATGGTGCCTGTGAAGAACTTCCATGGCCTCGCATCACCCTAAATCTGTGACCCTGTTCCCCTGGCCACTCCTTCGCCACCTGCTTTGGGTCCCTCCAACCAATCTGTCCACCATTGTACAATCTGCCCACCAGGCTTAGCCACTTTGCCCAATCTCTCTGTCTCGCCCACTTCCCTTGCCTTCAAATCCCACCTGAAGAACTACCTCTTTGACTATGCTTTTGGCTACCTACCTCACAGATCAGGCTCCTTTGCAAGGCATTTTGAGACGTTCTCCCAAACTCCAGAAGTCTGCAGTTGTACCCTCTCCTGGACCACACTGCTTGAACCTGATATTCTCATCCTTGCTCAGCTCCACATTCAGTGGATCAAATTCAAGACCCTCAACCTCATATTAAAATCCCTTCATGATCTCACCTCCACTCTATCTATGTGACCTTCTGCAACTATACCGACCCAGCTGCTCCCGTCGCTCAGTGAACACTGGGTTACTTCACAGGCCCCACCCAATACACCCCACCATTGGCCAGTAAACTGGAAACTTCTGATCTCAGCTTTCCTAGGACCTGGAAATGTACCTCTCTTCCCAGTCACTCAGCACTGTTGAGCACAGCTTTTTTCTCTATTTAACCTCAGTTGTCAAGCTCCCCTGGTCTGATTTTCTTGTGAGACTTGGATGACTGATGTTGTTTTTCTGTTGTCAGGGGTTGCCTGATACAATGGCTTCCAGTACCCTACCTTTGGAGCAATTACACTGTTTTGGCCATTGGTGTTTGGGCTGTTGCTCAGAGAGACTCTGTGGATGCTGTTGCTATGGTGAGTACCCCCTAATACCCATAATACCATTGGGTTGATGCCAGCAAACTGTTTCCAGATTGACAGCATCTTCCATTGTAACATGGTCAGATGTTGTAGTCTCTTCCTCCTTCCCATGGTCAGTTGATCTTATCCCTTGGATTGCTGCCAAAATTGCTGTAGTCTCCTGCCTGACCCGCCCTACCAACGGTGGCCGAGCTTTCAGCCTCTCTGCTCCCGCACTCCGGAACTCTAGACCACAGTCCCTTCACCTCACTCCCTCCCTTGCCTCCTTCAAGGCCAGTCTCAAGACCCTCCTCTTCGATCGTGCCTTCGGTCGCCCTCCTACCTCTCTGCCTTCCCTCACTCCTACCCCACCCCTCCCCCATACTCGGGTACTGACCCCTGACTGTCCAGTGCCTTGGGACGTCCTCCCGACGTGAAAGGCGCTCTATAAATGTAATTTTGTTGTTGTTGCTGCCTGTATCTATTCCTGAGACTTGTTGGTTGGTAAATAACCTAACGTTTCAGTTCTTGTCTACGTTTCTCTTGCAGGTTCTGGTTGGCATGTTACTGACCATTCTGACAGACATCATCCACATTGCTGTCAGTTACGAGCGTTCAGCAGCAGGTCAAGTAACAGCCATTCAAGACCAGTTCCGCTTCAGTGTTGGCATGGCCATTCTCAGCCTCCTTTTGAAGCCAGTTTCCTGTCTCTTTGTGTATCAGATGTATAAAGAGCGTGGAGGAGACTACAACCTGAACCTTGGTAAGAGCAGACTAGGGGTTAGCGAACTTCCGCGAGGCTTAGGGGAGGGGAGGAAGGTGCAGCAACTCAGGCTCTAGGTAATCTTCAGAATTTAGAGATGGCAGTGTAGTTCTTCTCCTAACCCCCACAAAGTTTAATTAGATCCAAGAGCACACACATTCTGGCTCCATCATGCTCCTGTAGTGCTGAAACAGCAGAAATTATTTAGGAAAGACCATCATTTGGACCATTTTCATCCATATACATAAGAGGAATTATGAATCTCAATGGTTTTGATAAGGTTACAAAGTATGTGGCTTATCCCTTGATCACAGCTCTCGTTTTAGTCGTAGTTTGCACAGAATGCAGGAATCCAATTTGTTTTGCCAAAGGAACAGGTCTGAGTAGAAGCATGATGATAGGAGGGGATGAAGGGCTCTTTTTGATTGCACTCAGTCATGATGTTTCTTGTTTGTAAATGCAGATATTAATGAGTTACCTTATGTCTATTCTGAAGGTGTCATTACGACTGTCTGTGTGCATATGGTTTTATGTATTTATGTATGCTTTTCCCCTTCCTGTGTGACCTTTCCAATTTTCCTGCTCTTTCCATCTCAGACCTGGACGCCTCCATTGACAGCAGGTTTACGTGCGATAGTGTTGAATCCAGCTCCCCCTATGGCCGCTCCTACTGAACCACCTGTCTCTGCCTTTCTTCCAGTCCGCCTGCACCTTTCCTACACAAATCCCTCCTTTAGCTGCAGTCCAGAACCCTTCTGTCTTAATGGGTGAACATCCAGCATTCATACCGTCTCTCTGCCGTGCGGAAACTCTGCTGCTATTGTTTCATCCTCTGTCCTTCACCAAGATCTGCATTGTTATAAATTTACATTTTTCATTTTATATAAACATTTTTTTTTCACATTATGGTACTTTAAGTTCTTCTTGAAATGGGGATGTTATCAAAGCTATGAAGAATTTGAATGTTTGTTTTTCCTTGTACATTGAGCTTTGGTGGAGTTGTCTGTGGATGAGTTGGACTTGGTCTCACAACCATAATCTCCTATTGGGCTGCCTTGGCAGTCTGTGCTTAGGTACTTCTTGGGGAAAATAAGCGAACATGTGCGTCTGTTAGTACCTGTATTGCAAAGCAACTGTGAGCAGGATGTATACTGCTTGCTTATTCACTAATAGGATGGAATGCCAACAGTAGCTGCCCCATTCCTTTCCTCCGTATAGATTTCAAGTGCTTACCTTTGTAGAGAATGGGAACCCAATTGTCTGCTATTACTACCTACTGAATTCTGTTATGGTTCAATACTTGTTTTCTCCATGGAGAAAACAAGTATTGGACCATAACAGAATTCAGTAGGTTACTTGTGCTCAGTAACTTCTGCGCTTATTCTTAAAAATAATGCCTGCTCACAATTGGCATAAGCAGCACACCTCTTATAAACTTTAAGCCTGACACAATCTTTTTTGTTTTGGGGGAGCCAAAGTGATCCTTAGTATTTAATACATTGCTGCAGTTACAATTGGGGTATTGCAAAATATTCTGCTATTGACTAATGCTTTCGCAAAGTCAAACCAAATGTGTTTTTTAATGGAGTGAGTTTAAATAATAGGAAGTTTGAAATAGGAGACCATGAGCACTGATAACTAATTGAGTCACTGGCAGAATCTTGCAAACTCGCCTGTGGATTTACAGTGTCTATTCACTGCGGGAGGACAAATGAGATGATAGTTTGTAAAAAGAGGATTGATTGGTTGAGTTTCCTGAATGATATTACAGGACACATGGCGCCTTTGTGATGCGGAAACCTCGGACATCAGCCTCCCAAGAGTCTCCCAATCTCTTCCCCCTCAAAAGATTTCAATGTTTGTGCCATCAGGAGAGTGACTCTTCTCTATGAATCATTCCGTACAGGTTTCCCAGATTTAAGTGGTAATCGGGATCGAACTTCATACCAGACCATCGATACTCAGGAGCCGCATCACCAGCCTGGCACATCCGCAGGCAGCAAGACAGCTTCAGAAAACTATTAAAGTTGTAAGATGTACATGATGTACAATACCATGTATAGATACTATGTGCCTTAGGTTTACAGGAAGCACTGTTGGCTTATGTTTGTAATGGTCAGTCCAAATGCTCAGTGTATGTCTTGCTAAGTAAGGGTGAGTTGCTCTCATTATACAAAAGCAGCAGCTGTCTCTCAGGCTACAGTGGGTGCAGTGCTCAATGCCACTATGGTAATGGGACTGTATAAAAATGGGATCCCCGATTGAAGTCGTAGAATATTATAATTAGTCTGATAGTTGCCTGCCAATTTTGCTGAGTCTGCAGCTGAATGAAACAAAAATATTTTCCCGTGATTGAGTGGGGCGGGACAGGGCAGGGGTGGCAGAAAAAGATCAGAAACTGGCCCAGTGCTTTTGGGTTTGAATGGGGAAATAGCCAGGGTTCCTGCACCTGATTGCTATGGACTTACCCTGCACGGGGGAAGAGGAGGGGGGAGGAAAATAGTGCCAATTAAATCAAATAAATGTTACTTTGTACCCCTTGACTGCTTAGCAATGAGAATATGAAACTGCCAAATCTCAGGGGGCCAATGTTGCTTTATATGTGACCCCCGGGGTCTCTCGTGTGTGTCTCACCTTGACGGTTACCCAATTTCCTCGCACGGCGTCGTCTTCCTTGAGGGGAAAGCGCCTCAGGAAACTGGAGCTTGGCAGTGGGTGATGGATCCTGTAGCCATGGTGACGAGAGCTGGCGCTCCTCTCGCCGCTCCTCTCGTCCTATCGATGCTTAAACACGGCTCTGCGATTCTCGTCGAGTTTATTTGCTGGCTCCTTCGAAATTATCGGCGTGGAGATAATTTAAAGGCCAGGTCCGTTCCGTGCCTTAGTTCCGACGATACTCAAGTTCTGTGTGAAGTGCAATGTAATTTGTGGTCCGCTACATCTGTTGATTGCCGACGAAAGCCATTAAAAAGTACAGACCGCTGTAAACTTGCCTGGGTCTGCCTCTTTTTTTTTCCCCCCCCCACCACCACCCCCTTTTTTTTTGAAGAAAACTGGAAAAACGTTGACGTTTTCTCCTCACAAAACTTGGGACACTTTACCCACAGGCATTGCAAAGAAAAAATACGAGGCAACGCCACGAGGGCTCCGGCCGGTTCGGGTGCGGGTCACCTGAGGGCACAGGCCTCATATGGACGCGTGTTGACTGGACGCCTGGTGAGCCGCCACACCAATGCGCTGGCTTCTCGCACTAGAAGTTGGCCAACCTCTGGGTGGCCATTGCGTAAGGCAGTGTCGGGCTGAAGGAATGGTCACACCGAAAGGGGAAGCAGAGGAACCGCAATCCGGGACAGAGGAAGCCGCGAGCGCCCAACTGGCGGTTGGGAGGCGGGTCACGTGCCGCTCCCCCCCCCCCCCCCCCTCTCCTCCCCCGCACGCGCTCGCTCGCTCGCTCGCTCACTCACGCTCGCGGCAGCCGTTCGGCCGCGCGAGGCCAAAGGCGCGAAGATTCAAAGCCCCAACTGTCAAAAGCGAGAGCGCGTCCGATAGCGCGTGTCTCACACACACACACACACACACAGAGAGAGAGAGGGAGAGGGAGTGAGTGTGTGAGAGTGAGCGTGTGAGAGAGTGAGTGTGTGAAAGAGTGAGTGTGAGAGTGAGCGTGTGAAAGAGAGAGTGAGCGTATGAAAGAGTGAGCGTGTGAGAGTGAGTGTATGAAAGAGAGTGAGCGTGTGAGTGAGCGTGTGAAAGAGTGAGCGTGTGAGAGAGTGAGTGTATGAAAGTGTGAGTGAGCGTGTGAAAGAGAGAGTGAGCCGTGTGAAAGAGAGAGTGAGCCGTGTGAAAGAGAGTGAGAGAGCGAGTGTGTAAAAGAGAATGCGAGAGAGTGAGTGTGTGCCGGAGAGAGGGGGTGGGGGAAGTGTGTGCGAGTGAGAGAGAGTGTGTGTGTGAGATAAGAAAGAGAGTGACGTGAGCAGGCCAGAGTTGATGGAGGAAACGACCAGGGGAATAGATCACTGCTGAGGAGAGCCATTTGAAGGCGAGGACAGTAATAATCCTTCCATTTGTTATCGCGCCTACAAGGATCTTAAAGTTGATGCGCTGGGGGAGTGAGTGGGAGTCATTGGAGCTGGGCAAGGATAGGAGTGATGGACTCGCGGAGCCTGGTACTGGGAAGGTACTGGAGGAGATAATAATAATAATAATAATAATCCTTGCATTTGATATAGCTCCTAGTCACATCTTTGAGACGTCTCAAAGCGCCTCACAGAATTTACTGTAAAGTGAATTGACTATTTTTTTTTGGAGGGGGGGGGACGACGACAAAACACCCACAAAAATATATGTGAAAAACTAATCTGGAGGCGGGTGAGTAGGATGTTGAAAAAAGTTGAGTCTGGTGACAAAGGTTTGGGTGAGGGTTTTGGCAGCATTGCGGGTGAGGTCGTGGTAGATGGAGGTGGGTGATGTTGCAGAGATGGGGGAAAGTGGACTTTGTGGAAGAGTGTGAGGGAGTGAGTGTGTAAAAGAGTGAGTGTATGAGAGTGAGCGTGTGAGAGAGTGAGTGTGTGAAAGAGTGAGTGTGAGAGTGAGCGTGTGAAAGAGTGAGCGTGTGTGAAAGAGAGAGTGAGCGTGTGAGAGAGTGAGCGTATGAAAGAGAGTGAGCGTGTGAGTGAGTGTGTGAAAGAGTGAGAGTGAGCGTGTGAGAGTGAGTGTATAAAAGAGAGTGAGCGTGTGAAAGAGAGTGTGAGAGTGAGCGTGTGAGAGAGTGAGCGTATGAAAGTGTGAGTGAGCGTGTGAAAGAGTGTGAGTGAGCGTGTGAGAGAGTGAGCGTATGAAAGAGAGAGTGAGTGTATGAAAGAGAGAGTGAGTGTGTGAAAGAGAGTGAGCATGTGAAAGAGAGTGAGAGAGAAAAGTCTGAAGGAAAGCTGAGGTTTGAGCAAAATGCATAAATCCAGATCTTTCGCCACTGGATCACAAATGCCAGATTTGATGTAATAAGCAGAAGCCATTAGGAACTACAGGGGATGAAATTGGAAACAGCTTGGCTATCTGTGTGATGGGTAAGTTTAATGTGAGCTGCTGCTCTTTATACAAAAAAATCAGCTTCTTTGGGGCTTCTATTATGGAGCCTGAGACTGAAGTGCCTTTTTTAAACTTTGTGCTGGGTCACGTGTTTCATTTACCGCTGAAGCAGTTTCAGAAAGTACCTTCCAATATCTACCCTGCTGATTCAATCAAACACTTTTAATGGAAATATTATCAGGCTGCTGCAGACTGTCTCTATTATTGTGTTTGGAGTTTAGGATTTTTTTCCACTATCTGTAGGGAAGATACATTTTGTTTTGATGTGTGCTTCAGATTTGAATGTCTTTGGACCTGAAACACGTTAGAATATTGGATGCTGAACTCTGCCATATGGAGAGATTTTTGGGAGAGACAATGGTCTGGCAACTGGGTTGCAATATTGCCTTTTATATTTGATACTTCTACTGCCTGAATCTTTCAAATAAGATGTGTAGGGCCTATTGATTCATCTCCTGCCGAGATTTAAATTACACTGAGCTGCGAGATTAAGGCCAGTGCGCTAGGCAACAGAAAAGTTAGAGTGGGTTTGTGAATGCTCTGATGGAAAAGTAATTGAACTGAGTGCAACTGCTCTCTCACACCGGAAACCTTTCTGAAAGCCCTGCTCAAATCTAAGTGAACTGTGTATGAAGTATTCTGTATCTTTTTTGTTTCTATTGCTGTGAATACTTTTATTGTGGACCAAGAGTTCTGTTATTTCTTGGCCCTGTATTCCGTTGGTTTATTTTGAGGCCTGACTGATGGAGTCAGACACATATTTTGAAACAATTCATTGTTGACTTTGGGCCACTTCAAATCCATGGTCACTCTGTTGCTTCTTCCCTCATATCCTTCTTCAGTCTGAAAAGTACCTGCCAGTTACTCAATTACTGGTGACTGGTGACATGCCATTTAACTACCAAATAGAACCACTGATTCCCTTGGGTGGAGACTTCCAAATCGCATTCCATTTATATCCAAATGGGGCCAGATTCTTGCATGAGTTATTAGTTGTGTCTACCTAATTTTCCAGCTTGTGTTTATGCCCTGATGTACATTTTAATGTGGAATTTTTCCAAATTGCCCCTTGTGTGGCATAGGAGTAAGTGTCTTGGTGAGCTGGTACCCAGAGAACAGGTGAGTTCAATTCCAGTTGTACACTGGATTTTCTGTACAGAATACAATGGAAAGTTTTGCTTATGTAAAGAAATTAGGCATCCTTGAATTTGTGATTTTGTATCTTCAAAGGAAAACCAAATAAGTCATCAAATTAAAAGTGGACATTGAAGACAGAGGATAAATGTGAGTGTGTATTTTGCACTTGTGTAGCAGACGTGCTGAGCTCTGACAGGTGCCAGTTTGGATTAGCAGATAATGTGCTTTGTGAGCTGCTGTAGCAGGGCTAAATGCAAAATAGTCCAGTAGTGAGGCACAGACCAAGGACTGGTCTCAAAAGAAATGCATACTTAGCTTTAACCATGTCTTAACATAACCTCAACACTTAATAGCCTACCAGTGTGATCCTCTTAAGGTTCAGGCATATAAGCAATATTAGGGGGAGGAGTTCTGTATGGTGGCCATGATAAGCAGAATTGTTTTATTGTCACAGATAACAAAATGTGTTTCTTTGAAGCTGCCTCATTTGGACTTTAGGAAGGAGTTCGGGACTCAGAATGTACAGTATGTAACACCTACAGGACAACAATTGGTTCTGTCTCCTCACTGACCTAGGATTTTTAGTGGAATTAATGCTGGCAGAATTAATTTCAGGCTGGATGTTCTGATCAGATCTTTGTTTAATTTGTAGTTTTTTCTAGAGTTGTTTATATACAGTGATAATTATTATATATATATTGTATTTGAAAATGCATCGGTGAGCACATTTTAGCTTCATTTTGTGAGTTTCCCAGGGTAGAACAAAGCTACAGGTTCTATAATATGACAGGTTTCCTGTGGGTGGAAATAACATGATGGCTTCAGCACTTTTTAAAAATGTATTTAATAATATTGAAAAAAATAAATACCCCAAACTTGAGGTACTGTAATTGTAACATGGAGCAACTTGTTTTGGAAAATACTATTCATGTGTTGTTTGTTTTGGACAATTTTGTAGTGAGTCCAATGGACTGGTTTTACAAATGCATCATGAGTATTCAATTTACACGTGTAGCATACACAGATTTTATTGGCAAATCATTTCAGATTTGTCTGTTGCTTTCATTAAAACATAGCCTGAATGTGATCCAAGAATTAATGCTTTCAAATCTGTTGTTTTACAGAATGCAAAAACATTCAGGAGAATATAAATGTGCAAATTCATGCAGAGAAACCATTAGTAGCGGGTCTCTTTCACAGGCCTACCGCCAGGACAACCTGCAGTCAGACATTTGGTCGGATCAATGAGCAACATTGGCCAGCAAGCAGTACTGTGCATATTGCAAAGCAGGCAATTCTGAGGGATCAGAGGCAAAAGAAACAATGGGTACAAACCAACCTGATGTCTCAGCATCTGGAGCAGCCAGAAATGGCATTGATGCCATTAACGCTGTTGCGCCACGGGCAGCAGTCCAACATAGAGCACAGCAGGAGGAAATACAGTCCCCAAAATACTATCAACAGAAGCCAGTCTAACTCGATCTCCATTCTCCATTTCCCAAATGAATCCAAACACTTGGGAAAAGATCAGAGCCTTTCAGCCAGGAATTCAGGAATATTGATACCAGATGTCCGTGTGTCCAGCAATCAAGGCTTTGTTGAAATGAAACAAAATTTGTGGAAGAAACAAAATAAGAGTTTTCTTCACAAGGAAGAAAATTTGCTTCCATTACAGTTACGAATTGGACAGGTGGATGGTGATGCTCATGTAAGGTTCTCAGAGGTTTCTGATCGTTTTTATGAATCAACGATTCCTAACTCCCTCCAGCGCAATCTCACCATGGCAGATCTCAGAACATCTTGCCTCTCAGCGGGTCACCACAAGTCTGACACACTGCGCTCCATCCTGAAATCCTCCCAGACCTCTGCAAGCCTACACCGCTCAATGCTCAGCCTGCAAGACATTTACAAAGCAGAATTTGTTTCAGGAGAATCTCAAAGTCCCAGCTCATTGAAGGTCTGGACTTCAAGTTTAACTTTTGGGGATGGAAAGCCGAAAAGGGCTGAAGAGGTAGATCCAAGTTTTAGGAACTGCACAAATGTCCTACAAACTCAGTACTGCATTAATAACTGTGATCCCTGTCTTGCACATGGTAAAATTGGTACGTTTTCACAAAATGTGTGGAAGCCATCTCTCCAGACCTTGAATAATAAATGCCAGTCATGTCCACCCGAGTTACCTTGTGCTTCTGGTAGAAGTGAGACCAGCAACTGTTGCAGAACGGAAACAGAAGCTGATGTTTCGGCAGAAAACTATGACCATTCTTGTCAATCGAGAGGTCCCAGTGTATTGACTATGTCACTGAAAGCCTCATTGATCTCACCTGACAACACAAAAGATTTGCATCCCTCCGGCTGCACAGCAAGTGGTGGTTGTGACGATCTTTTGTGTCATTTTCCCATAAGGTCAATAACCTTATCTGATTATACAACTGGAACCCAGACTGGTCTCTCACCTGCAGCAGACAGAATCCAGGCTGAGTCTCTTTCCAGCCTGTTACAGGATCAATGCACTGAGCCTCTAGGAAACTTGAGAAAAGATGCACGGAAAGAGGAAAAATCTGATCTGGAGTCCACAAGGTTTGGGAGCGGGAGGGGACTGAACAGGAAACCAGATGTAAAACTCAGAGACCTGAGAGCTCCATTATTCTTGGATTCCTTTGATGATTCCAACTCTCAGAGTAAGGAGGAGCCTAAACAAGGAGAGGTCAGTTCTGTGAAGCCTGGATGTGGAGAATGTACTTGTTCCCACAAACTGATATTGAAAGATGCTTTGGGAAGTAATGTTCCTTGAAAGTGTCCTCCGCAATCCTTTACCCTGCAGGTAAAAACCTGCCATCAGCATTGTTTTAATACCTTCCAATCTATTTAGTAACATTAACATGAGGCAGTGAATTTCAAGGTGCCCTAATATAAATATAGAAGGGCATGTTCTTCTGTTCTACCTGTTTCTACATCAGCACTTATAAAGGTACAATCCTTGCTATTACAGGTTTCCAGCCAGGTCAGTTTGCTCCTCAGATGTTTCTATAGCGACCTGAGCACCGTCCCTATTTGATTAATGCTGCACATTACAAAGAATGGAGGAACACACACCCTTTACTCGGAGTGCTGCCAATTCTAACCTGACTCATTAATCAGCTGGTGAAAAACTTAACCCAAAGTAAAGTTAGCTATCAATATGCTTATAACTGAAAAGGATCCTGAATGAAGCAGTCAGTGAGGAACAAGTAGTTCTCTGTGGATACTATTTCTAGTTATCTTTATTAAGAGGAATAACAGAAGTGTTTAACCCCCATGACCTCTTGCTTCTATACAACGTAGCGATATGCATTGCCTTTCACATTAAAAGGTGTCTCAGTTTTTCACAAAATAATTTGAAATGAAGTGAATTTTATGTAGCTGAATGCAACGGTACATTTGAAGTCTCAAAGGTCCACACAAAGCAATGAAAAGAGTATAAGACTTATAAGAATGTTTTAGAGTGAATTTGGATTATGAGAGAGATAATTAGGCAAAACACTTCTCTTTTGCACGAATATTGAAACTGTATTTTTGTTTCAGAGGCCAGCAATCCAAGATGTTTCTGTGGGGAGATCAGAGGAAAGGTACCAGATTTTTGAATAATTTTGTTCAATTTAAATAGTTTAAATAGGTATTTGAAACTGTTTGGCAGAATTCCATAACTTTTTGCCCAAAACAAAAAATTCAAGGCCAGAATCTGGAAATGATTGAGGTTTCATTCCACTCACTGAGCCCATCTCAGAGACAAGTCCCAGGATTGGTGTTGTGTCAGCAGATTAATCATGTAATTAAGGAATTAATTCTTTCAGTGGTTGAGGGTCGTGGGGACAGTGAGAGATATATTGATAGTGCTGTATCAATTACAACCAGCAGGGATAGACTGTACCAAACAAACTGTCCACACAGAAAAAAACATACTAATTATGGCACAAATAATTGCTTGGAGAGAACAGAGCCCAGGTCAGGTGTGGGGAATATCTTGTTGGGAGTTTCAGTGTGAATGGGGCAGATTGGTTCCAGGTTCAGGAACAACAATTCTAAGTCTAGCCAACAGAGTATCTGTAGTGAGTGCTCAACCTTTTAGAAGACATGACTCCTTGACCCATGACAGGCAGTTCTGCAGCTGCGTTTGTTTTATAGTAAATATAATATAAAGCTAGTGGGCCCAGGATCATGCTTTTCTTCCCCAGTGAGCGTGGTACTTTGTACAGTTTGGGATGCTATGTTGCTGAGAGAGAGAGAGACGGAAACCCCAAACTGCTATTAATAGGAAGAGACTGTGGAGGTTCACTTTAAAGTGGAACTGCGGACAGTATGCCATTAGTAGATTAGATCCCATTCTATATAAGAAACTGTGCATGGTGTGTATGTGATGTCCTGCGATTGAAGAGCCTGATTGAGTTTAGGTAACCAGAGTTGGAGATTTGGTGGAAATCAGCACAGATTGCACACATCACTGGACCAAGTAGCTTTACAATTCATCAAGTGTTTGTTCAGCTCATTACCAAACCCACGGTGCTTGCAAATTTCATTAGAAACTAATTAACTTATCTGCGGTCTGTACAGCCCAATCTCCCGGTGACGTTCCTTTGTGGTTTTGTAAAATTCAATTTCAGCCTGTCAAAGCAGACAGCACAAAGGCCTAATTAATGTAAATTTTGGCTCCTACACTTATGATTTTCATTGCAAGTCGCAGATGGCAAATTGCAGGCAGTGCGTTGAGATAATGACCGAGTTCTAAAAAAAGTTTAATTATGGAGTGTTCATTCCTGTCAGGGCATGAGCAATTGAAACAGTGCTAATTCGGTGATAAGTTTTTCTAATTAAAATCAACACTTGCGTGTGTTAAGTAGTTACAAGGGTGTAATGTAACACACTTTTCTTTCAGAGTTGATTTGTTCCACTTATTATCTCCTGACGCTTCAGCGTGTGTGGAAGCAATTGGAGATTAGAGTTCAGAGAGGGGGAAGTGTAAAAGATTTGGTGCAGAATTATTAATGAGGTTGTATTCTTTGTGTGTGTATATGTGTCAAACATCATTGTCATCCCAGGAGCTTCTAGTCTATGATACTTTTTGTATTGATAGCTTGTAATATGTATGGAAAACACAACTGGGCAACTGAGCAGAGGAAAGGAGGTAATGAAGATGTTCAGCACCAATTGCTGTTGTTTGCCTGCACAGCTTGGGATGGAGTCTGAGCCAGGGGTCATGGGGGGAGTAGGTGGTGGTAGAAGAAGATAACATGAGAGTGATTAGTATCGACCCTTTTGTAGAGATGCATTGGCAGCTTCTTTGTTTTGTCAGATGTTTTTGGTAGCTAAAATGGTGTGGCAGAGAGGTGCAGAGTAATTATAATAAATAATAGTCCTTGCATTTGATATAATGCCTTATCACGTCTTCTAGTCCTCTCAAAGCACTTCACAGAATATACTTAAAGTGAATTGACTGTATATTTTATGGGCGAATTATCCACTCAATTCTCCTGAATTTGCAGGCCAAGATGGGAGGCATGAGAGCTGTTTGCCTCACACTTTAGCTGGTGATGTACAGGCTTTAACAGCCCAGTTTAATAATGCCAGCGAGGGGCTGTCGCTGTATCTTTACTGTGCTTGGCAATTGTTTAGCTTCATTCAATTATCAGCACCGCCCTAATCAATGGCCTCCCTCTAATGATGCTTTCAAAATTGGAACTGGCTTTTTGTGCAATCTCAGTGTTGACCCTGCAAAATGACAGAGATAAAAGGTGATAGATAATAATAATAATAATCCTTGCATTTGATATAGTGGTTTATCACGTTGTCAAGACATCTCAAAGTACTTCACAGAATATACTGTAAAGTGGATTGACTGCATATTTTGTGTAATGTACAATCACTAAAATGTTCCCATTGATAAATATTGACTTTAAGTTGCCAACAGGGTCTATTGCCCCTTCAACGTGCCTTTACAATATGACCTTGGGAGCTTATCTATTGAGTGCCTATGGAAATGAAGAGTTTGGGTGATTACAGAGCACTATTTGGGAGAGAATTTAGTTAGGAGATCGATTCCCCTCTCAGTTGGAGTTCATTAAGTGCTCCTGCTCAGTGGAGCATTTTCTGTTCTCTCGCTGGTTGCTGCTGTAACTAGACAAAGGGTCAGCGGGGGTGACTTGTGTTCTCCTGCGTTTCTATGGAGATGAACGCAGATGGAGACATAGTGGGTAGATGCAGGCTGGTACAGAATAAATCTTACTAATCGTGATAGATTACATTTGGAGAGGGAAATGAATCTGAAGTGCCAGAAAATCTCACCACTAATGGATTGAAATCTTACATGCAGTTTTGTTTCACTGTCTGCGTCTGAGTGTTTCTGAAATTAAACTATTATATCTGAAAAGCACATTAGAAATGTTGTATGGTATAACTAACTGCTTTACAGTTTTGTCACTTATACAGGGTTGTTCTAAGGCTCATTGTTCATTTTAATAATTGGGATATTATGATTTTTTTAAGTTGTAGTTACTAAAAGAAAAAATCAAGTAAAGCTTGTAGCGAAGTTGGCATGTGGTCATGTAGGAGTCTAGTTATTCAGCTGGACAAAGAGAGGCTTGGTACAAAGCTATCATGTTGGGCCTCAAAAGATCTGGGTGGATGTCACTTTGGTGGCTCATGTTTGGCTGTGACTGGGATTCTGCTCACTCTTGGATACCACATCTAGACATGCGGCATGGTTTGCTGGTGGCTGGGAATTTCTACATTGGGAACAGCTACAGAGTCCATCAAAACTAAATTCTGCTGTGTGTCGTTTTCCAGCTCTCAGAGACGTTATGTCCGATGGGAAGGCACTTTATAAATGCAGGTTGTTGTTCCAAATTGGAAGATTCATTGGTTAATTGTGTTCGAATTTCTTTGACCCTTTAAAATGTAACAACACTTTAAAAATCCTTGAATTTGATATATATCGCCTACAAGGTCAAAACATCTGAAAATGTTTTATTGTCTAATTATTATCTAGTAATTATTGTCAAGTGTACTGACTATATTTGAAGGAAAAAGCATCAGTCAGTTTTTTGCACAGTATTGAAATATATTGACTATCACCTCGGGATAAATTGGATTATTTCAAACAGCAACTAAAAGTTCCAGAAGGTTTGATAGTTAAATGGTTAAAAGTAACTTTGCTGGACAGGTTGAGGTTAGCTTCTGATTACATTTCATATTTTCCTGGGAAGATGCTCACTCCTCTGAGATATTGAGCAGTCAGGTCCTTGAGCATAGATGTAAGAACAATGGACCACAGAAAAAAAAGGCTGCAGCCTCAGACCCCTGTCTCAAGGCTGAGAAACAAGCAGACTGTGGAAATTGTCCATATCTCTTTCTGTGCAAAGCAGCCTGCGAAGAGTGGGGGCTATCTCTATGACGAGGGAAGATGGAGTTAGAAACTCATAAAAGAAGGATGTAACTTTGAAATTGTTTGAGTTATGTAGAGGGCCTTTGAGTTGTGTGGAGGGTCAGCACACTTCGATATTGATTCTGCTGTATCTATGTGTATGTACAGGGGTGAGGGAATTTACCTCCAGTAAGAAAGTGATCATGAAAACTGAAAGAGGAGGAGTAGTGGATAATATGTTTTCGGTTCTGTCTGCTAGGCATAGAAGTAGTAACAGTAGTAGCGGTTTGAAACACAGAAGTCAGGTTAGACAGTACGAGTGAGGTGCTGGGCTAAGAGCTGATTGTTTCTGTTGGGTTTCCAGGAGCCACTCTCTGTGATTCTGTATGATTAGTTCTGTGATCTCTCCAGTGCATGTCAAGGTGTAATCCCAGGTCTACTGTTTAGCTGGACTACGAAACAGTGCCGAATATGTGTTGTCGTCCCTATATTGTCAATACTTAAAAGACAGTACTGGGGATTGTCTTTGTGTGTGTTGTCGTCCCTATATTGTCAGTACTAAGGACTGCAAGGTACTGTGAGGATCAGCTATATCTAAAGGACGATTCCAGAGGCTGAACTCCGTACTGGTTCCGGGAAAAAGACAGTTTTGGGAATTGTCTGTCTTCCGAAGTTTTGCGCTACAGAATCAGTTGTCCCTGAGGGTTTTCCAGGAGCTGATATCTGCTGTGTATTTTGAGGTGTGTTGTTTGTCTGGAGAACTGAGCAACCCCTGTGTGCATGCTATGTGGTAAATATTTTGCTCACATAGATGTGTTGTATTGTTATCGTGTTATATGTAGTATAATTTGATTACAGTTTGTTAAACCTTATGTTTCATCTTATGCAATAAACTCTATACTCTTACCACTGGCTGTCGAATTATTAACAACAGCATGGTCCCACAAGAAGACATAAATTGAATAACCAATTTATCTAGAATATTTTTGAGGCAGGGACACTAAGAGAAACTTCCTTCAAGTTCCAAAAGTCATTGGTCACAAAGAGGGTTGGATTGATCAGTTTGGTGCTGTTCCTCTACATAGGAGCTTGTATAGAGTATAGTGTAAGAAAGCTCTGTTGTTTCAGGTCTCTGAAGTTGTATCAGCAAGGGCTTGTGTCCAGGTGTTTGAGGGCATGGTCCAGTATTGTGAAGTGGCGTTACCTTGCAGCCGAGTCTTTGCAAGAACAGCAGCTGCTGTGGAAAGGGCTACAGGCACTGCGCTGGGCCGTGGAACTCCGGCGAAAGCAGGCAGAGCTTTTGGAGAGAAGGCAGCAAGCACGACTCCTAGCTTATTACTTCAGCCAGGTGAGTATAGCAATGGCCTTGACTTTCACGATCATCAAACAGGGGCTTTGAGTATTACCAGTAGCATGGTTTCTGTTTGAGTAGTAAAGGTGAGTGTGATTTGTAAAGAATAAATTTTCTTGTCCACCGGTGTCTTTAAAAACTTGGGATAACAAATTTCTCACGTAATTAACCTCTGACAATAATTTTGATGTTTTTTCTCAGTGGAGAGACATAGTCAGCATTTGTCCATGCAGGGCAGCCTTTGAATCTCTGGCTGCTGCTGAGGAACCATTTGCTGTAAACATGAAGGAATGGCTCACGCTGCAGGTGGAGCAGCTGACTGAAACTAAAGCTCTTGCATTCTGGAAGAAACCATCTGAAGGCTCACCAGCACTGAGTGTGATGCGTTTGCACTATCAGTAAGTGGGAACATTTTAATTCCTCTTGTTGGAACCAACCTGTGAGCTGAGCTTGTTTAACACTGCATGTTTTGTGCCTGATGATCACCGTCAAGTGAAATATTCTGGATTATTGCCATACTGTCAGAAGCCCGCAGGTGGAGTCTCTAGTGTTGAATCCGCATAGTCCACATGGACAGCAGTGCAGTACTGAAGGGAACACTGTATTGTCAGAGGTGCCTTTCTTCAGATGAGATGTTATTCCCAGCTCTAGTCTGTTTATTTGGATGGATGTTAAAGGTCCCTTGACAATTAAGGGATTTTGCTGTGCGCAAATTGGCTGCCATGTTTGCCTACTTATACAGTCACTTGACAGCAATTCCTTGTGAAATGCATTATGGATGTTATATCAAATATAAGGATTATTATGATTTAGGGTTGCCCAGTAGCGTGTATTTATGGAGCAGCTGGCAACAGCGAGGTAGATTCACTGGTAAATCTCATTGTAAGTTTATGCAGAATACTGTCAGAGCGACCCATTCTACCTGAGCGAGACACTTGCTCAGTATCTGCCTTATTGTGTATTTGTATCTTGCAGGTGTTTTAAGGCATGGAGACTAGTTGTTGAACGGAAGGTCACATGCCAGTGCATTATAGAAAAGCGACGTGTTAAAAGTATGAAAAAGTGCTTCCTTAGTGGCACGCAATGCTACAGCTTTTACAACTGCACTACCAATGGACACAGGGATGTACAGGTCTGAGCCTATTCAGAACTGCAGGAGGGATCTGTACCTGGGACTAAGTCTAGCGAAAGCTGAAGGAAGGGAGGTCTGCAGCAGTTTAGAGCTATGCTATTTAATATAGGGAAAAATTCAACTCGTTCTTTGTGAGGTCAGGGTATTAAGAGATATGGGACAAGGGTGGGAAACTGGACTTGAGGTACAGATCAGCCATGATCTTATAAAATGGCAGAACAGGCTCGAGGGGCTGAATGGTCTACTCCTGTTTCTATTATTTCTTCCAAATAGATTGTTTTTAGTAAACTAGAAACGAACTATGTCCTCCAGGACCTAGAGCTGTGGAGATTCTGCTTTCATAAGGTTCTTCAGTCTTGGAAAGAGGTGTTCAGAAGGGACTTTATGGAGCAATATAAAATTTTAAATAGGATTAGGAAAGTTAACTCAAAGCGGTATTTTGGAATATGCTGATCTAGCAGAACGAGAAGGCGCAGGGTTGCAAAGGGGCAATTTCAGGACAGACACCTGGAAATATTGTTTTACCCAGAGAATGATAACTAGGTTATCAGAACGTGAGGCCAGGATGCTGGACTCATTTAAAAATAAAAGCTTGACGCTGTAATGGGAGGTCAGCAGGGTGGTGGATATTCTGGAAGGATGAACTGTGGTGAAGGGCATTCCTCATCCAAAGCAACCTTGTGATCTGCCGAGTCTGAGGTCCTCTCCATTGTGTAGTGAGTCAGCGATCTCTGGTGGCAGACACCAGGTACTACAATGATCCACATGTTGAGTTGAATACAGTATTCAGTTCCACCAGGCAGCATGCGACCAAGAAGAAGAGACAATAGGAGATATTTATAATAGCTTTCAAAAGGCAATTAGTAAAATATTTGAAAAGAAAAATATAAAAGAGTATAAGACTGCGCGTAACCTGGGGGTGGGCCACGTATACCATAAGCTCACTTCTGTCTTTTTAATTAGTTGTGAACCTTTGGAACCAAGCTGATGGCATCCAGAGTGGAGCAGGCATGTGTGCTCAAGAAATGTATAGACAGCTGTGCGCGAGGTCTAGGAGAGTAGAGACTTGCATTGACACACATCTGACAATGTAATCAATGTTAAACTGGAAAGAAGAATCACCAGGATACAGTTTAACTGGCTTCACTTGCTAAGAATTTTAGCAAGTGAAGCCAGTTAAACTGTATCCTGGTGCTGTCAGGTAAAAGAGAGGAACATTGCTTCAATAAAAATCCTAAAGTTAATACATTAAATCTTCAGATTATTTGGAACTAGATTAACTGTCCACATAACCTTCACACCTCATTCGTGCAGAGATCCCATCTGCATATTGAGACAACTAATGTTTTACTTCCAAAATTAATGATGATTTAAGGTGTCATCCTGGCCTAGTTGGTAGCACTTTTGCCTCTGAGGCAGAGGGTTGTGAGTTCAAGCTCCTGCATTCACTTACAAATTACATAGTTACTACATTTTACATGTCTTATCAAACGGGTTGAGGCATCCAGTGATATGAAAAGCTGTAATTAATCCCTGTTCCTTGACCCTGCATGAGAGGCGCTATATAAATACAAGTTTGTTGTATTTGTGTTTGATTGTTTGTTGCATAACCCTGAATCTCTGTCCTTTTGATTTTGTACAGAGCCCGGAGGAAGGTAGGGACATCTGGCATCTTGTGCCAATCGGGTAGAACCATCTCTCTGTGTCTGGTATATCAGAAGTTAGCCAGTGCCGTTCTGTCAAAGCTTGCAAGTTGTCGGCCTCCTTTACCAACTGGCCCTATGCTTGCACTTTCTTCCATTGAAGGCCAAATGTCGGGGAATCTGGGACAGATCGGAGTCCTGCATGGAAGTGAGAAGGTAACTGTTGTCTAAGTTACTAAGTCAGAGTAGCTAAATAATGGCCATGTTCTTCTCCCTCTTATTTGAGGCACCTTGCCTTTTGCAATTTGGCTGCTACAATTTCACAGTCCCTACATTTGACAACAATTCCCTGTGAAGCATTTTGAGATGTATTTGACATTCTCGGTGTAATATCAAATGCAAATATTATTAATTCTCTCCTTTATAACAGAACCTCTTCATCCCTGAATGTACACTGTATCTTTTCCATTGGTTTTATATCGTTCCTAATAGTGGATACCCACAACTATACAATACTAAACTGCCTTATCCTAACCCAAATTATTTCTTGGTTAAATATAAACTCCCTGCTTTTGTGTTTATGTTGGATCTTGTTTCCTCTCCTCTGGCCCAGAATTTGGTTCGGTTAGCTGAGCTCCATGATGCCTTCTGTCAGTGGAGAGAGTATGTCCTGGTGCAGAGAAAAAAAAGAATTTTGAATATGTTGCTGAAAGTTCTTCAGGACTTCAGGAAACTGCGACAGATATTTAATAGGTGGAGAACAGCAAAACTTCAAGCGGGAAAAGCCAAACTCCAGGTACAAGTGACTACAGTGTCTAGATTAAAGTTGTAGAGTGGTGCTTTTTATCAGTTTGGGAAAACACCAAAGACCAGAATTGCCAACTGTTATTGCGAGCTGCAATTTATCAAATCCAGCAACATAAGAATAGGAGGAGGCCATTCAAACCATCAAGTTTCTTCTGCCAGTTTATTAAATCATGGCAATCTTTTCTCCATCACCCTTAATGTCCTTATTTTGCAAGTATCTATCTCCATCTTACACATCCCAGTTGTTTTTGCCTGAGTGGCTCCTGACCGCACTTCTAACTAGCTTAGCTCTAACTTTCAAATTATGATTTTGAAAATTCTTAAATTCAGGCTCAATTCTTCTGCAGTTCTTGGGGAAAATACAAATTTGTTAAAATATGAAAATTAATGCGGAAGAACATTGTGTTCTTTTGCCCCAGGTAGAGCAGCATAACACAGTGCAGCAGTCACTCATTGTAACTCTACTGAATACAGAGACAAGGAATTCCACATTAATCTCCTTAGGATCTGAATACGGAACTATTGACCATCAGTCACAAACGGTACTTCTTTTGGAAATTATAATGAGCTTGTAATACTGCTGTTGGTAAAACAAGATGACATGAATAGTAGTCAACCTTATTGATAATATTTCCTTCTAGTTGGCTGCCCAGCATCGATTAAATGAGATTAAAGAATCCTGGCTGCGGACCCAATGTGAACAGGATAGACTGGAGAGAGCAGGGCGATGGCTGCAGTGCAAAGTGGAGAAGCGGCAGGTGAAGCGGAGTTTTGTGCTGTGGGCGGCTCGCAGGAGGCAGGTGTGCAGAGTACAGCAACACTATAGGCAGCTGCTGCTGGCACGGTGAGGCTGTGTTTGTGTCTCTCCTACCATGAGGCACTCTTGTGTGCTGGGGTACTGTGTTTGGGATTAGGCTGTTTTATGTGTGGTGCTTTTTTAGCTGTATCTATTGAGATTTCTTATTAGGAGCGCTGTGAACATTTTGTATTTGTTCAGAGACTGCAGATAAGTGAAGTCGTCAGAACATGGTGCACACGTGTCTCTGCATTTCAGTTTCTGTCTAAGCACAGACTAGTCTTTGGTTGATTTACACTTTCATTGCTCAGCCTGAATATGATTGGTTCACATGAGCCTTCTTTCACTCTGTCCTTTGTATGAGATCTGAGCATGGGTCAGCCATGCTGACTGTCCCACAGTGGTTAGTAGCATGATCAATGTGCACCAAGATCAAAACCAAGTAATAATAATAATAATAATAATAATCCTTGCATTTGATATAGCGCTTTTCACGTCGGGAGGACGTCCCAAAGCGCTTCACAGAACAAACTGTAAAGTGAATTGACTGTATATTTATGGGCGAACGCGGCAGCCAATTGCGCACAGCAATGTCCCACAAACAGTCGTAGATTGAAAATGACCAATTTATTATTGTTTTTGTTTTGGAGGGATTATTATTAGGCTCTGTGTGGAGTAAGGAAACTTGCCCAAGGTTTCGCCCTCTGCCTGGAATTGAACTCAGGTCTCTCGCTTGCAAAGCGAGTGCTCTAACCACTGAGCTACAGGTCTCCAGGTATTCCCTGGTCTGTGTGGCCCACCCAGTGCTGCCCTGAGGTATGCCCTGTGACATGACAGGCTGCTTTATAGAAACATATAACATTACAGCACAGAATCAAGACATTTGGCTCATCAATTCTGCCATAACTTCTTTGACAATTGTTATTGAACAGACTGAGATTCAAATATCACAAATAGGTCCCTGGAAATCCTGCTCCATATGTGACCTGATCTGGCAAATTAATAATATGCTTTTAAAGACATTAAGGGTGGGGGTGCTGCCTGAATATTCTGCTACTCGGTGAGTGTATTCACCTTGGCGGTCTGTGACCTGGTGTTATGAGTGTACCCAGTCAGGTCAGTAGCTTTACTGAGTAGAACCTTCTGCTCTGTGAGTTTAGAGTCTCATTTTTTTATTTTATTGCCAGAGTCTTTCTGGCCTGGAGCAGATGGGCCACGGATTGTCAGCGTTGCAGAAAGATGGCTGACAGCCATTTGCAGAGCTGGTTGTGTCGTGTAGTGCTGGCCCACTGGAGAGTGCGTTTGGCACAGAGATTGGAAGCTGACAGAAGATGCAATGACAAATATGTGGAAAACATCCGAGCGGCAGTCACCCGCTGGCTTATGTACACCAGAAGTGAGTTTCAGGCGGGTAGATTGCATGTTTGTTTCAGCAAGATGTGCACAACACATGTTTGAACAAGTGTATGTGTATATATGTACAATAGTATACAATAATATGTTTATGTGAGGAACACAATAGTGTGTTATGTGTATGAGTGCTTATGTGAATGAGCAGAGCACCCACCAATGTGCTGAATGATGGACATAAAAGATGTAAAGTGTGTCTGTAAGCTCTGGAAGTTGCCATGTTCCCTCCATATTAGGTGCTATTTTCCAGAGCGGCGATTACTGCTGGGCCTACAGAAACACTTTGTTTCTGCTCGGGACCAGGTGACCAAGGTGGTGGTGTTGAGGACCTGGTGTGAGGAAATGAAGAGTCGGAGGAACAGGAGAATGATTGCAGCTGAGATTCTGTTGCGCAGGTCTGACACGACACTCACTATAGTGGGCAGATAGTGTGTGCTATGGGGGTGGCAATGGGAGTGGTGCTCGCGTGGATTTATGTCAATTACAAGACTTCGTGAAATACCATATACCTAAACCCCAAGCAAAGTAGAGCAACTCCATCAGGGGCAAGGACTGACTACACTTCCTTGTTAGAAGCACAGAGATCTATTTCTAGGGCTGCATCTCCACACCCACGTCGCAAATGTGGACACATGGTCCAGACTGACACTCTGGTGCAGTGCTGGGAGAGCTCTGCATTGTTAGAGTTGGCTTTGGATGAGTCGTTAAACCGAGGCCTGGATGGTAAAGATCCTGTGACACTATTGGAAAAAGTCAGGCCAACAATCCTCCAGATGAACTGCCATTAACTTTATGACCGGTTGTGAGACTGGTTAGCTGAAAAAAAGTCACTGCACCTGTCAGGAATTATGTTATAAGCGCTATATCAATTGCAAGGATTATTATTTATATTATTGAACTTTATTCGTGGGATTAAAGAATACTTTAGCAGGATTTCTTACAACCTTGCTTGTGATGGTATTGTGGTTTATTTCTGGTCCGCTTGCAGATCTCTCGTGTGCTGGGCTGTCTTTGTACACAGGCAGAAGGAATGGGAGGTAATTGCTTGCAGTGAGGTGTCTGTGCTGCAGCTGCGGTCAGCATTTGCAATGTGGAGGATGCGGCTGGTGATGAGGCAGAGGCTAGCAATGCTGATACAGAAACGGACTGAGAGAGTGTTGCGTGGCCTGCTGGAGTCGTGGCACAGGCGGGTAGGTCCTGGGGCTGGGATAGCTATTGCTCAATCATTTTATCAATAACATAAAAACATTAAAAACAAAAATGTTTGTTTTATTGGTTGTATGGAATGGCAAGAACAGTGGAAAAAGTTACTAACGACTCAATATAATTTTCAGTTTTTCTCTGGAATCAGCTGTTTTTGGTTCTTTGCAAAGCTGATCAGTCCTGCCCCCCTCAGGAAGGGAGGGTAAAAGGACGAACATTAGGAGGGAAAGAACCTGATCTGTGTTTCCCACAGGTGCAGTACTCACGCCAAGTGACCCGCAAATTCCTGTCTCGTTGGCTAACGATTGTGACGATGCGGAAGCAAACACGTTTGTGGAATGATCTGGAATATCAGGCGGAGGAGCAATACAGGAATCACCTGTGGTGCGAGAGGTTCCATTATTATTTATAATTTGTACATAATTGCAGATGTGCTGCTGCTAAATACCATCCCAGCCTGATGTGGCAAACTAACTCGGCGACAATTTACTATGTACATAGAGGGCTGTGAAGGGCAGGGCGAATACAAAATAAGGTGGACACAGGGCAAGTACCAACTAGGGTGGGTAGAGCAATGCTTACATAATAATCCTTGCATTTGATATAGCGCGTTTCACGTCTTCTAGATGTCTCAAAGCGATTCACAGAATATGCTGTGAAGTCAATTGACTATTCGTGGGTGAAATGCGGCAGCCAAATCGCGCACAGCAGTGTCCCGGTCGTGGATTGAAGTCACCAATTTTTTTTTGAGGGATTATTATTAGGCGTGTGGAGTAAGAAAACTTGTCCAAGGTTTTGCCCAGGTCTCTCGCTTAATAGGTGAGTGCTTTAACCACTGCGCTACAGGACTCCACAATATATGGTTGTTTGTGTTTCAGTAAGCGGTGCCTTGAAACTTGGCACAGAGAGTTGCTGCTGCAACGTTTCCTGCAGAAGAAAAGCTCTGGGCTGCTGCAGGGGATCTGGACGCAATGGAAGAGTATTACAGTGGTACAGTTATTGGCACACAGATTGGCAAGTAATGTGGTTTTACATGTTCATCTCGATGGAAAATCATCTTTATTGAGGGATTGTAAACAAGGCGTTGCTGTATTTACTCACCAATAGAGAATAAGCTGCCTTTGGTCCTGGTTATATCTAGCCAATTAGCATCTTGAAAAATAACTCTGGATAAGAAGCTTAACATCATAGAATTGCAGACGCTACAGCATCACCAACAGTCATGGAATCAAATTTTGACTGGTTTACTTTTCCATGCCAAGGTTTAATACTATAACAATCCTTGTATTTGATATAGTGCCTTATCACATCTTCTGGACATTTCAAAGCGCTTCACAGAATATACTGTAAAGTGAATTGACTGTATGTTTTGTGTGGAAAACATGACAGCCAATTGCCCCCAGCGGTGTCCCCACAACAGGTCGTAGATTGAGTGACCCAATTTTTATTATTATTATTATTTTTTTTTGGAGGATTACCCCCAGTTTAGAAGCTAAGAGCTACAGGTATGATTCCCCATTGGTCTTCCTCCCACATATTATTATTTACTCCCCATCACCAGCCTGCTTCAGTTTGATGCTTACATGGTCTTTCATTCTCCACACAGTGGCAGCAGAGGCCAGAGGAGAGGGCCTGGCGGATGTGGCGGAGGCGGTTCATCCAAATCCGGGTCTCGCAAGCGTTTGCAGCCCAGAACAATAGGGTTCTAATGTTAGACGTACGTTTCTATCAACACCCTGCACTACACAAGAATTAGTCACTTTAGGGAGTTGTTTCTCAAGCGCATTAATCAAGTGACATTACACTGATTAGGTTGATACATCAACCTGCATTTTTATAGCGTTCTTCACATGGGTAACGTCTCGGAGCACTTAAATCTATGAAGGAGATAGAACTTTACTTTAGTGAAATGCCTGTGATCCCTGGGTTGAGTCTTGTTATTTTATGACACACATGGTAGGGTTTGCATTGTCTCCCTTATTTAATGGAAGCTTTCACAGAAGACATAGCCAACAAGAATGTGTAACAAGAGATGGAATTATTTAAATTGAGATACATTCTGATTTTGTGAAATTGATCTGAAAATCATTCTGCTCACAGATGTATTGAGCTAATCCTGTTGCTACAAACACTTAGGGATTAGAGCTTCTCTTGTGTATTTCTTTACTGCAGGTTTTCACTGCCTGGTGCAGAGTGGCTGTTTCAAAACACGAAAACACACGATTACCACAAAAGGATGAATGAGGATTTGGCTCCGTTCTCTCTGGTGTTATTGAAGATCGCTCTGCCTTTAAAGATGGACAGAGATCCGTCTCAGTGGACGGAGGATATTGTACCTCATATACAGTGTATCATTTAGAAAATGAAGTGTAGTTACCAGAATTGGCAAATAGACTTTCTGATCCTTTTTCAGATGACTGAAATGAGTGAGCCTCCTTTTCAGATTCCCACTGACGTCACCCTTCTACTGAATAGACATTATCATGGAATCCTGTAGCATATTGGTCAGAGCACCTGCCTCGCAAGTGAGAGGATTCGGGTTCAAAACCTTAGGCAAGTTTCCTTGCCCCACACGCCTCTGCTTACCTAGCAGTAAGTAGGAACCCAGTTGTTAGTCTATTGGCAGATCGCTTTCCACAGGTAATAATCCCTTCAAAAAATAGTACTAATTTGGTCACCCAATCCACGACTGTTTATGGGACTCTGCTATGTGCAATTGGCTGCCATGTTTCACTCACAAAAGATACAGTCACTTCACAGTACATTCTGTGAGGTGCTATTCGAGTCATCTTAACAACACAATTAGGCACTATATAAAATAATCATTCTTCTCAGCAAAACTGAGAAAACGAGTGAATTTGGGTTCCAAAATAATTTTAAAGTGAATTAGCCAAATAGATGGAAAAGAAAAAAGTGTATGTGATGGGGGGCAGGGGGAAAGAGAGAAGAGGGATTTCATGGAGAGTTCTTTCAGAGAGGTGACACAGCACTGATGCCCTCCTTTGATGCTGTAAAATTCTAGAGCTCTGTTTCTGCTAAGATTTGAGTCTAGTGAGTGATATTGTAGCTATCCCTCTTATATGTAAACTGAAGCACTCACAGCCTTCAGTGAAGGAGTTTCTCCAAAGTGCTGATGAAGTGGGTTCCTCGGAGAAGCAAACCCTCTACCCGACTAGTATCTTGTTTCATTAGATACAGACTGGGAACTCATGCAAACCTTTGCAAAAGGAGTTTGTTCTATGTGAATGTTTATTTAAATATGGTGATGTTTGAATACAATAGTGACATGACTTTTGTAAAAGTTGTGCAGAACAGTGAGAACATTTGTAGGTCAAGTTGCTATTTGTATTTGAAAAGCAACAACTGCAGCTGTCATCTATCTGGCCTTTTACCCAGTGAAGTTGCACATTCCATTCTATCCACAAACCTTTCCTCTACCCCGACCATCTGCCTCTCTCAGCAATGGTTCGCATTTGTGCAAGAAGGAAAAAGAAGAAACTAGAGGAGCCAGAGTTCATTGGTCCCCATATGAATCCCATCAGAATATGCTGATTTGCAAAGATCAACAGTAGTGCCTTTCCCTTACTGTCAGCCTCATACAACTCATGTTCCAGATTTGATTAGTGCCCAAATTTTGCCTGTAGATTTACTCTCCCAGAAGGCAAGTAGATCCTATGGTACTAATGGCACTTCTATATTCACGTTATGCAAGGGGACTATTTCTAATGCTTCCTATTTATAGAGAAAACTGCCATCACCATTGCTAGTTTACAGTGGACACTCAGCTGTAGGGAGTCAATAAGTTATTTATTTTCAGCACATAAATATCACAGTAAAATGGATTTTAACCAGATAGGTCAGAAGTTGCCAGATTGCACACTATTTTTGCTCTCATCTGCCCCACACCTAGTGAGCTGTGAATGTTACCAAATCCAACCAGAGTCAATGGTGTGAGTGTTAACCACAGCTAGTTGAATCAAATGCTATCCAAGATCAACTTGACTTGAGCACATGGTGTAACAATAACAAGCTACCGTTTGCTTACACGTTTGGGAGTAAACATTCAGGATCCCATTGCTGCAGCAAATCTGCTTTCTGGAATCATGGCACTGCTGCTAGGTCATCTACTGCAGCAGCATCATCACATGGCTTTTCAATCGATTTTAACAGGAACATATCTTCAATCACCTGCCAGAGACAGTTCTTAAGTGGAAAGTCATTGTCCACCAGGTTGACCAGATAATAGTTGTCATGAATGTTCTGAATTATCTGCCGAGACGGAGACTCTTCTGGGTACAGTTTTGCCCACCGCTCAATCCATAATGCGAATGCTTCATCCTGGGAATAGATCAGATAAGGAACATTCACATGGAATTCTACCTGCACAGCAACGGGAGGAAGTAATTAAACTCTCGCCCAACAAGACTCTTGCCCTCTCCACTGCAGATTCATCTAATGGTCAACAGACAAAGCAATGAGTAAAAATGCCAAATTTGAATCACCATCAACCTTCAAGCTGCTGCCATTTGACCCCATCTGATGAATCACAGGAGAGTGAACCAGTAGATAATTAATATGAAGTATGAAGAGAAAGTCACAATTTTGCAAAATTTATTAGCAAAATAATAATAATAATAATAATAATAATCTTGCATTGATATAGGTTTCACGTCGGAGAGTAAGGTTCACAGAACATGTAAAGTGAATTGACTGTATTTGTGGCAACGCCAGCAATTGCCACAATGTCCACAAACAGTCGTAGATTGAAATGACCAATTTTTTTTTATTATTATGTAAAGTTTTGCACAAACTTCACTAACTACAAATGTTCAGCCCTACAATTTAGTCACAGGTTTTGCAGTGGCTAAGCCACTTACATTTTATGTGAGGAGCTGGGCATTTGTGGGGAGGCCAATTTACAGCAGAGAATAGGAGGCAAAGGTTAATGCAGCATTGCTTTAGGCCACCTATGGTGTAGCAGAATGAAGAGCAACCCAACTCACTGCTTTAGAAATTATCCCAAGTGTTCTAGTATTTAAATAAATCCACAAAAGTCGCGTGTTACCTTCCAATACATGAAACTGATGGGATCAACCACTGTGGGTTGAATGATCTCGCGTCCAGGGAAGATTCCCCAGGTTACAGCATTCGGCTGAAGGTCAGAAGCATTGTTTATATTCTCACTCTGTAAGTTTAAAAAAATTAAGATTAGCTGCAAACCATGCACTGAAAAGCAGCTACAATTGTATACCCATGTAACTATTTGGCTTGACAACAGGAAGTGACTGATCCAACCCAATCTGCCATCCCACACTGATGTACATTGTTCCCAAAGGAATGACTAGTATAACATGCTGCTTGCTCCATCTTTAAGGATATTGTTAAATGCGTATTAATGCATTCATGTGATGTCATCTGCGCCGCTGAACAGCCAGAGTGGGAAACTGGAATGCTGCTGAAAATGGCAACTGTCCTGTTCCTTGCTCTGGGTATTTCTGTCCCCGAATGAGCAACTGGATCTTACCTTCACATTAACTATATGATAGTTGACTCTTGGTTCATATTTCTTCAGAACCTGCAGGAGTGCAGTAACATTCTCCGAGGAGGTGAAGAACTCAAGATAGGCCTGGGAGAGCAAGAGTGAGATTAAACTGCAGAGCATACTATGCACAGATTAACATTAGAGAATAGAGCTCAGGCCATGGAGCCAACTACCCTTATACACTAAAAAGCAGGACTTTAGATATCTATCCACCTGGATTTCCACCCAACACAAATACAGAAACACTCCAGCGGGAGTTTCACAAGCTGCTTAATTTTCTACTTAAGATAATCAAGTATGGCTTGGATTCAAAAGCCTTTCCATATGAAACTTGATCTGAAGTAGACAACGTAACTGTTTCCACGCTCTTCGTAATGGTCTAAGTTTACCCCCACCCCCAGAGGTAAAAGCTTACTCTTACCTTCTGAAACACATAACCTCCCTCAGGGCCCCAGCCCACCACAGGATCCGTTGAGGACTTGGCGTTGATGTTGGGCTGGGAATTTATGGTGAGGATACCTCTGCGATTCACCTTCTGTAGTTCTGCTTTCATTAAATTGGTTTCCACTGCCAGAGATTCATCATTCCAGGGGAGACAAGTTACCTGTCAAATCACACAGTAGTATATGTCACAGTAACCAGGTGGTCATAAAAAAAACTGCTGAAAGATTGATAAATCAGATTGAGCCTTGACTAATGAATTACAGTGATGTAAAGAATAACTACTGATCCATAAGCACAATCAGTATTGCTGTGAGTGCCTTACTTTTGTACCATTCCTGTTGGATTCTCCTGTGATATAAGCTGTGAAGACCTCAAAGACATGCTCTTCATTCACCAGCTCCTCCCCCCACATCTTCAGCAACTCTTCCTTTGCACAATTACTCTTCAGATAGAAGAGGTAATAATCGTTCAGCTCGCCAAATGCTGGTGAGGATGAGTTCCCCCTAGGAATAAGAAAAAAGTCACATTACACATTAGGAAATAATCACCTGCATTGGGTGAGAATGTAAAATAGTAACAAATTGCAGATTAAAGGAATAATTGAATCCAAACCATCTGCCATTTGGAAATTCATCCCAGTCTTGAGTTCTGTAAATGTAACTCTTTGGTCTTGAAGCCCAGAAGATTGGTCTGACATCCTCCACCTTCCGCTTTGGGTTGGCACTAACAGCCCAAGGCAAGGGTCGTCTGGGAATGAGGAAATGGTTAGACATCCCCTTATCCATGATGTTACATTCATACAGGCAATGTAAGATCACTAAAAATTCAGTTGTTTTGAGTCCCGGTCGCAAACAATATCCTCTGCCTGTGATCAGAGCTCCAAAAACTCTTCCCATGACCTCCCACCAAGCTCGATACTCCCACTGAGACTTTGTAATGATTTGAAACAAACTCCCTTGTGTAAACATTTAGGCAAATGCAAGTTAAACAAAATTTAATGAATACATCAAATGTGAAATGTGGCCTCTTATTGTAGAATGTTTAAAACTTGCAGAATCCAGTGGACAGCTGCAAGTCAGATTTCTGGACTAATGAATTCTCTGGAACACATTCTGCTCTATGTATATTTGGTCATAGGAGCTACTCAGCCTCACCTGGGGTCCTCAATCCACAGGCCCAGTCGTCGGAGAATCTCCGTGGCTGCTACTTCTCGATTTAGCGTGTAGAAGTGGAGCCCTGGCACTGCTCCAGAGGTCAGCAGTGCTTTACACAGATCTGTGGCCAAGTCAATGCCACAGTTTCGAATAGCAGCATCATTATCTTTGATCGGCTCAATGATATCTTTGATTTCCTGTGGTACTTGTAGCTTGGACAGTTTGACCAGCTGACGCAGCGAGTGGTACCCCTGCGCCAGGATAAGGAACATAAGTAGATGGTAATCTGAACTGTGGCAGCACGAGAAAGACAATCCTCCTGCATGAAACATGCCCACTTTCTACAAGTTGAAAGATTCTGTAAACAGGTAAAGTTGGCCATACACTGCCAGGTGACGCAGGTCAGTTCTCACTTTCAATGAGCTCCTCTGTCCTTTACATACCTGTATGGGAAAGATTCCAGGTAGAATTGGACAAGTAATTCCAATTGCACGACAGTCCTTTAGGAATTTCAGGAAGGTTTGTGGTTTGAAGAAGAGTTGGGTTATAATGAAGTCTGATCCAGCTTCTACTTTCTCCTTCAAGTGTTTGAGATCCTCCTCGTAACTGGTGCATTCCGGATGTCCAGTTGGGTAGCCTGTGAAAATAAAATGTTCAAACAAGTAATAAAACTTCTTTAGAAATCTCCATCATGTCTGCTTTATATAGTGGAATAGGGAGTTTGATTTGTGGGGCAGATCTTACCAGCAACACAGATGTCAAAATAATCATCAAACTTATTACGGATGTGTTTGACCAAATCACTGGCATAATTGAATCCTCCTTCTTCAGTCTGCCATTTATCAGCTATTGGGTCTGCAAAAATAACAGCAAAGTCACAGAGAGCATTTGTTCCAAAACATTCATCCTCATTACAAGCCCTACACTTTTTTTTGGTCAGCTGGATGTCTGACACATGCGGAAACCCATCAACATGCTTAAAAGTATCCATGCATTTCACCTACACATGAAATTTCCAGAGAAGTTATTGGAATGAGAATCGTTTATTCATATCATCAGAATGTTCTAATTCCTCCTCCCCACTCCGTGTAATGGATAATATGCTTGTGTGTCTGCTATTTTTCCAAGAAGCAATGATTGATTAGGAGGAGTTATTTATGGATTGCTCCCTACTCAAATAGGAAAGTAGGAAAATTAATAGAAACACTTGACAATTGTCATTGTTCTGGTCTCCCTCAGTGTTTAAGCGCAGGCAAAATATTCAATAATGGGAAATTTACTTGACAGGTTCTCAGAACTGGAGGCACTTGGCCTGATGACCTTTCTGGATTGTCACAGAGTATTTCAGTCTCTGGACTGGATGTAAAAACAAACTATTAATACTTTATACAGAAGAATGAAGATTGAATGATGATGCAGCCAAGTATAAACACATTGCCCGAGATTAGGTGCACACCTTGGATTCCCCCAAAACAAGTCCCAATTTAGGACGTGAACGCAAACCCTTCTGACCCAGAGGCATGAATACCATTGACTGAGCCAAGATGACACCCAAGGAAAAGAAAAGTATATACAGTAAAAAGATGTTACAAGGATACACACTTATAAATTAGCTCTTACCACCACGGAGTGCCAGCACATTCTTCAGGCCCAGACGACAAGCTTTTTGCAAGTGCTCTGTGATCTGTTCCTTGCTCTGGTTACAGCAGGTGATGTGCAGTAGGGTCTCCAACCCGCAGTAATTCACAGCAGTGCTCGCTATCATCATGGAGGAGGTTTCTTTATCTGACCCTGGGTCTCCAGCAGGATGCCAGGTCACGTCGATGAAAAGTGGACCCCCTGCCCCCATGCGATCAAATCTAGCCAAACACGAAAATTAATTTACAGGATTGAATAGAAACCAATCAAACTATCTGTAATTTAGCTGAAATTTGGTTAGAGTCCATGTATTCTCCTGACAGTCTCTTGACCACCAAGATTTTAGCAGAGTTTCAGCAACTTTGAGGTTCCCTTGTACAATGCATCAAACCCTACTGAGGAACATACCTTCTCAGGCTTTGTTATAGAACTACATCAGGCAATATCCTTGAGGAGGCTGGAAGGCCCACGTAACATTGCAACTAACTGACACTAACCTCCGCCGCCCTGCAACCCTCCTCCGCCCGCTGACCTGCCACCCCCACCCTCCACCCCCACCAAGTAGACTGTAAGGGGGAGGGGGGTCACAATATGGGCCCACCACACATATCCTAGCCCTCTGTCCTAATGTACATCAATATGTTAGGAACACAAACAGCAACCTATCACCATTTGAAAAGCAACACAGTGACCTCCACTCTTGAGGCATCTCATTGCATAATTCAAGTACTACGTGTTCTTGTTTAAAGGACAGGAACAGATCCATTGTTACCAAGTACATGTGCGCTATGCTCTCGGTTTATATCGCAGCTATTCTTGGGTTGACAAAGACTATAAGAATTATTATAAAGACAATTTATAAAGTAGGGTGAACAGCAGTTGCTAAGCATTTTGACCCTCAGACACCGCCCAACTAATATCACTGCTACCGTTTTTACAACTTAATAAAAAGTCTCCCTCCTCCCCGCTTCAAATTCATCAAGACGATTTGGCTAATCCAACTTTAACGTTCATCTGCCCGGGTTCCATTGGTGCTCATTCACCCTGCAGTGGCACACTCACCTGGAAAGGAGATTTACAGCACCACTGGCAGTGCGTGGGGGGAAAAACTCCAGCGAGAACCATTTATCTCCAGATTCAATCCGGCGCCTCATCTTCTCACGTAGCCGGTCCGATTCCAGACTTGGTGTTGAACTGCGTGAACTCTCCCGGGAAGAACTATCGCTACAACTCTCACCAGACTTGGAAAGCTGCCCATTGTGCTGCCGTTGTTTCACCATCATCAGTCAGATCCCTGGAAGCAAAAACGTTAATGAATTGGGAATTCAGGAATCCAGCAGGTCCCCAAACCGGGGATGGGGCCAGAATCCCAAGTGAGTGCGTAAAACATGCCTACTTGCAGCACTTTACATTGCAATAGTTTAGATGGCTCACTTTGACTGAAGAACATTCTTGGAGCCAGAAGCTTCTATGGGGTGACCAAATAGTCTTGATAACTACCCTATTATCTAAAAGAAAACATTGTTTGAGACTTATTAGAGATTGTAATGGTATGACTTTTTGGTCACCCTGTAGATTTGAAGCTTCTGATGTTGATGTAGGTCTGCATTAAACCAAGGTAAGGATGATGGCTGACCAGACTGGCAGACAACTCCTTTACCCTATGACGCTTTGCTAAGATCACTGCAGTTCTGCTCTTAAAGACATTATCATCGAATAGAATCATACAGCACAGAAAGAGGCCAATCGGCCCGTTGTGCCTGCGCTGGCAACTCAATCCCACTGGCCCACTTTCTCTCCATAGCCCTGCAATCTTCTCCTCAAATATCCATCTACTTCTCTCTTAAAAGTTGTTATTGAATCGGCTTTCAGTACCCTTTCAGGTAATGCATTCCAGATCCGAACAATTCGTTGGGTGAACAAATGAAAAAACGGAAACTGCTCTGGTCAAGATCACAAATGACATCCTGACCATATGTGACCAGGGCTCCCTCTGCCTCCTCATCCTCCTTGACCTCTCCACCGCTTTTGACACTGTGGATCATTCAATCCTCCTCCACCACCTCTCCTCCCACCTCAACCTCCAAGGTTCTGTCCTTGACTGGTTCATACCGCCTCCATTTTGTCGCAGCCAACGGCTTCTCCTCCAGCCCCCGCACTGTCTGGTGCAGTGTTCCTCAGGGCTCTGTCCTAGGTCCCCTCCTCTTAATCCACTACATGCTCCACCTCATCCAGAGACATGTGACATCATCCGCAGACATGGGGTAAATTTCCACATGTAAGCAGATGACACCCAACTCTATCTCTGCCTCCACCCTCAACTCCAGGCCTACTGGCATCCTGACCAACTGCCTGTCCGACATCAAGTTGTGGACGAGGGACAACTTTCTCTAGCTGAACGTCAGCAAGACCGAGGCCCTCCTTATTGGCTCGTGCCAGCACCTCCACACCTCGGGCGCTGGCAGCATCAGCCTCCAAGGCTGAACACTCAACCTCACTAAGCCAGTCAGGAACTTATGTGTCTTGTTTGACCTTGAACGGTCCTTTCTCCCCCACATCCGCACCATGACCGGCACTGCTTACCACCACCTCCGCAACATTGCTAGACTCCACCACTGCTTCACCCCTCAGGTTGCTGAAACCCTTACCCATGCATTCATCACCTCAAGGCTCGATTATGGAGATTCCCTCCTCATCAGCCTTCCCAATTCTTCCCTTCACTGCAGATCATCCAAAACTCTGCAGCTTGTATACTCTCACGCACCAGGCTTCATGACCCCATCACTCCCACCCTTGCCCATCTTCACTCGCTCCCCATACCTCATAGGATCGAATTCAAGATCCTCGTTCTCACTTTCAAGACCATCCATGGCCTTGCCCCCTCTACCTTTCTGACCTGCTGACTCCCTACAAACCTGCCCGCTCCCTCTGTTCAGTGGGCTCCGGCCTGCTCCATGTCTCCCGCCCTACCATCTATGGCCAAGCTTTCAGCCTCTCTGCCCCCACACTCTGGAGCTCCATCCCATAGCCCTCCGCCTCACTTCCTCCCTTGCCTCCTTCAAGGCTGGTCTCAAGACTCCTCTTCGATCATGCCTTCAATCGCCCTCCCACCTCTCTGCCTTCTCTCATCCTTACCTCACCCCTCCCCCATGCTCAGGTCTTGATCCCTTTGGACCAGCGCCTTGGCACATCCTCCCGACATGAAAGGCGCTTTATAAATGTAATTTTGTTGTTGTTCCTGCTAATCTTTTCTCGTACAATCTCTTCACCCCTCTTATTTCCCTTTTCACTTCTCCTCTGTAATTCCTATATTCTATTTGATTATCCTGTGTGTGTTTTGGACCTGACATTTGTCATAAGCTTCCTTTTTCTGTTTTATTTTAATCCCAATTTCCTTAGTCATCCAGGGAGGTTTGACTGTCCTACCTTTCCCCTTTGTGGGAATGTATTTGCTCTGTCCTCTCTCCTTGAAGGTTTCCCTTTGTTCATTTGCTGTCTTACCTGCCAATCTTTCTTTCCAATCTATCCCTCCAAAACAAAACAATAATAAATTGGTCATTTTCAATCTACGACTGTTTGTGGGACATTGCTGTGCGCAATTGCGCAATTCCTGGTTACAACCTATTCAGGAGGGATAGGGAAGGGGAAAAAAGTACACAAACGTACAGTCAATTCACTTTACAGTGTGTTCCGTGAAGCGCTTTGGGACGTCCTCCCGACGTGAAAAGCGCTATATCAAATGCAAGAATTATTATTATTATTATTACTAAAACCTGCTCCACTTGCCCCACTTCATTTCCCAGAACTAAATCCAGCACTGCTTCCTTCCTCATTCAGCTGGAATCATGCTGAACCAGAAAGTTCTTCTGTACACATTTCAGGAATTCCTCCCCTTCCTTGCCCTTTACACTGTTTCCTTCCCACTCTAGGTTAGGATAATTGAAGTTCCCCCATTATCACTACTCTATTAGTTTTGCATCTCTCTGAAATCTGCTTGCAGATTTGCTCATCTATCTCCTTCCCACTATTTGGAGGTCTATAATAAATACCTAACAGCTCCTTAACTCCAACCAAATAGATTCCGTTTTTGGACCCTCTAACACATCGGCCTTTTCCAGGACCATGACCATGTCCCTAATGAGTATTGCCACCCCTCCTCCTATTTTCCCCTTCCCTATCCCTCCTGAATAGGTTGTAACCAGGAATATTCAACTCCCATTCCTGTCCTTGTTTGAGCCAAATCTCCGTAATGTCACTACATCATAACCCCATGTGACAACTTGAGCCTGCAGCTTACCAAGCTTATTGGTCATGCTCCGTGCATTTACATACGTGCGCTCCAAGACCGGCTTAATCCACTCTACATTTCTCCCCCGTCTCCACTTTTTGCTGGACTATTCGTTGTTTCATTTCTTTTTATCTCTCCTCATCCACTATGTGACTTGTTTCCCCTCCCTGATGCTACATTCTGATCCTTATCTCCCCTGAAAATCAGTTTATACGCTTCCCCACAGCATTTGTTATCCTTGTTGCAATGACATTGGTCCCAGCCCTGCTCAGGTGTAACTCATTCTTCATGTATAGGTCCCATCTGCCCCAGAAGTGGTTCCAGTGGTTTAGAAACCTGAAGCCCTCCTTCTTGCACCATTTCTCCAGCCAGGCATTCATGTGTTTGATCCTCCTGGTTTGGTATTCACTTTCATAAGGTATTGGGAGTAATCCCGAGATCACCACCATTGAGGTCCTGCTCTTTAGCTTCTTTCCAAGCTTCTGATATTCTTCCTGTAGGGTCTCAGCCCTTTTATCACCTACATCATGGATCCCAACATGGACCACACTTCCGGATTTTCTCCTTCCCCCTGTAGTATATTTTGCACCCATTCCGTGATGTCATGCACCCTGGCCCCAGGGAGGCAGCATACCATGCGTGAGTCCCGTCTTCTATAGCAGAAACGCCTGTCTATCCCTTTAACTGTAGTATCCCTGATAACAACAGTGTTGGTGTTTTTCTCCTTGTCCCCCTGAACATCTATTACCTTTTGACTCTTCTCACCAGAGGCGTCCTCACCACTATCGAGAACCAGTTCTACACTGATCATTCATTCTAATCCATTTTAAGTCATCTAAATAATTGTAACAAGTGGCAGAACAACAACAAAGTTACATTTGTATAGCGCCTTTCGAGAGGACATCCTGAGGTACTGGACAGTCAGTGGGGATCGGGAAGAGTGGAGGGCAGGAAGCAGGGTGATCAAAAGCGTTGTCGAATGGAGGGTCTTGAAGGAGGCAAGGGAGGGGGGCCTAGGCAGAGGGACTGCAGGATGGCGTTCCAGAGGGTGTACTTGGTTGGATGTGTACCTTTTGCCCTATTGAGCTCCCGTACTGTCTCCTACTCTCGCTCCTCCCCCTGGTTCACCACCCACCTCCGCTCACTGAAAAGCCAGGTGCGGGCCGCTGAACGCACCTGCGTCAAATCCAGCCTAACGGTCCACAGACAAATCTGGCTGGACCTCCTCAAAATCTACCGCTCCACTCTAGCCTCAGCCAAGTCGTCCTTCTACTCCAGGATAATCCTGGAGTCGAAGAACAACCCCAGGCTACTGTTTTCTACCACATCCCGACTCCTCCGTCCCCCCCGCCACCCCGCGCAGGTCATCTCCTCCAACCTTCACTGCGAGGAGATGCTGGATTTCCTTGTATCCAAAATCAAGGGAATTCGCTCCGCGGTCACTTCCCCTCCAACATCCACCCACCCCCCACCCCCTCCCTCCCACACTACAACTCCTACCCATCCTCCCCTACACACTTTCGTACCCGTTTCCCCACCCTCTGTCACTAAACTCATTCTATCCCTGAAACCCACCACCTGCTCCCTTGACTCCATCCCCACTCCACATCTCCCAGCTCCACCTCCTTGCCCCACATATCACAGACATCGTCAACCTGTCCCTCTCCTCTGGCTCCGTTCCCATTCCCTTAAAAACTGCCACCATCACTCCCACCTTGAAAAAACCCTCCCTTGATGCGTCGCAGCTATCAATCTCCGGCCCATCTCCAACCTCCCCTTTCTGTCCAAGGTCCTGGAACGAGTTGTGGCCTCCCAGCTGCGCTCTTTCCTCTCCACCCATTCACTATTCGAACCCCTTCAGTCGGGTTTCCGTGCTGCCCATAGCACAGAAACTGCCCTGGTCAAGGTCACCAATGACATCCTAACCATCTGTGACCAGGGCTCCCTCTGCCTCCTCGACCTATCGGCAGCATTCAATACGGTCGACCACTCTATCCTCCTCCACCGCTTGTCCTCCCACCTCAACCTTCAAGGCACTGTCCTTGAGTGGTTTAGGTCGTACCTCTCCCACCGTTTTCACTATGTTTCAACGAATGGCTTTTCCTCCCCCTCCCGCACTGTCTCGTGTGGTGTCCCTCAGGGCTCTGTCCTCGGTCCCCTCCTTTTCACCCTCTATATGCTCCCCCTGTGGTGACATCATCCGCAGACATGGAGTTAACTTCCACATGTATGCGGATGACACCCAACTCTACCTTTCCTCTTCTACCCTCAACTCCACGACCCCCGATGTCCTGACAGCTGCCTGTCCGACATCGAGTCCTGGACGAGAGCCAACTTTCTTCAGCTCAACGTGCGCAAAACTGAGGCCCTCCTTATTGGCTCACGTCAGCACCTCAGGCGCTGACAGCATCAGCATCCAAGGCTGCACTCTCCACCTCTCAAAGCCAGTCAGGAACCTCGGTGTTCTGTTCGACCCTGAGCTGTCCTGTCCTTCCACGCCACAACTGGCACTGCCTTCCATCACCTCCGGAATATCGCCAGACTACGGCACTACCTCACCCCTCACGCGGCTGAAACCCTGATCCATGCCTTTATCACCTCAAGGCTGGACTGTGGGAACTCTCTCCTCGCCGGCCTTCCCGGCCCTCCCTCCACAAGCTGCAGGTCATTCAGAACTCTGCAGCTCGTGTACTGTCCCGCACCAGACACCGCGACCACATCACTCCCACCCTCGCTCGCCTCCACTGGCTCCCCATCTCCCAGAGGATCAAATTCAAGATCCTCATCCATTCACGGCCTCGCTCCCTCCTACCTCTCTGACCTACTATCCCCCTACCTACTTGCCCGTCCCTCCGTTCCTCTGGCTCCGGTCTGCCCCAACCACCCTGCCATCAGTGGCCGGTCCTTCAGCCTCTCAGCCCCGAGGCTTTGGAACTCTATCCCCCAGTGCCTTCGCCTTGCCTCCTCCCTTTCCTCCTTCAAGGCCGGTCTCAAGACCTTTCTCTTTGACCGAGCCTTTGGCTCCCCTCTCAACTCTCTTCCCTCCTCCTCGCTACCTCCCTTCCCTTCCCTCACCCTGACCATTTCCCCCCCTGCTCGGGTCCTGACAGCGCCTTGGGACGTCCTCCTGACGTGAAAGGCACTCTATAAATGGAATCTTGTTGTTGTTGTTGTTGTTGTACTCATACACACGGATAATGATGCATCCAAGCAGCAAGTCACCTCAGGTCTTGCATGGCAGACAATTAGGAACTCCGCTCCCCGATAATCCCAGTCCTTGCCAGAGAGGATTGACTTCAAGATCCTCACACTTGTCTTTAAATCCATCCACTCCTCTGCACACCCCCTCCTTTCTGACCTCCTCTCGCCTCAAAACAGTGCCCATTGCCTTCACTCCACTAGGTCTGGCCTCCTCATCCCCCGAATCCTCTGCTCCACCATCGGCCTTCAGCCACTACACCGCAAGGCTCTGGAACTCCATTCCTCACTCCCTTCGCCTCGTTTCCTCTCTTCCTATTTTCAGTTCTCAGCTGAGGGCCTTCCTTTTCGACAGCGCCTTTGGTCACCTTCCTCCTCCTCCCCGGGATCCTTACTGTGAAGTGCTCTGAGATGCCGTACGGCATTGAGGGCGCTATATAAATCCAAGTTGTTGTTGTGTATTGTTGACCCAAAACCTAGATACCAACATTATCATTCATATATTTTTGTGGGATATTTCTGCATCAGAATCCTTTTCTCGACCTCAACCCAACTGCTTCCATAGGAAACAGCTGCTCGGGACATCTCTTCTGGGAAATGAATGGGCCTTGTAATCTACACCACTTGCACCAGAGCATCCTATAAACAGGTTGTGGGGAACGTGCACTTGGCAACAGTACTCTTGCAGAGAAAGATCTACGGTTGCAGCAGTTAGTACTATAAATACAACTCTATTACCACCCAACTGACCTTTTACAGACTTACTGCCAACAATAACTGTTGGCACTGAATGCTGACTGCAATCTCTACTATTGCACTGAACCCCAGTCCCTGCAGTCATCATACACCGATCATTCATTAACCCTTTAGTTCTCAGTTTAGCTACAATTCAAAACGTACAGCCCATGTTTCAATAGTTAGAACATGACTACATTTAACCTCTACAACGTACAAGACAGTCTCGGCGCTTTGGGACGTCCTCCCGAAGTGAAAGACGCTCTTTAAGTGTAATTTTGTTGTTGTTGTTGCAGAGCAGATGAAAAGTAGCCAAAAAGCAGAAGTCACTGTGTGCACTCCATGACTCCACCCTGAGAGAGGGAGCTATGTAAGTGCACGTTGTTAGCTGATAACTCGCTGAACATAAACACATACACAGCTGTGAAGTTACAAATCCTGTTTACAACCGCCAGACCTTTGAGTGGTAACTTCCCTTTAGCTCTCAAAGCCATCTTTCCAAAGGAGCACTGTGATGATGTCCCCACTCGGGCAGACAGGAGGCGATGCCACCCTCGGAATAACAACCCCCCACCCAGTGATGGGTGTGGGACCCGCTCTCGGCTTCTCCCCCAATTCTCATCGGGGGTTGACAGTGATCCTCGGAAGGGGCTGTGCTGCACAAACTGCCCACAGTCACAGCGCAGAGATCAACAACAACCCACGGGGTGGTGGGGGGGGTGACAGGAGTTTTTTAGTTAAGGCACATTTTGAGTGCGGAGTGACAAACCTCGGGGAGAGTGGGGGGGGGAGGGGGGGGGGGAGGGGGGGGGGAGAGTGGGGGGGGAGAGTGGGGGGGGAGTGGGGGGGGAGTGGGGGGGGAGGGGGGGGAGAGTGGGGGGGGGAGAGTGGGGGGGGAGAGTGGGGGGGGAGGGAGAGTGGGGGGGGAGGGAGAGTGGGGGGGGAGAGTGGGGGGGGGAGAGTGGGGGGGGGAGAGTGGGGGGGGAGAGTGGGGGGGGGAGAGTGGGGGGAGGGAGAGTGGAGGGGGGGGAGTGGGGGGGGAGAGTGGGGGGGGGGAGAGTGGGGGGGGAGAGGGGGGGGGGAGAGTGGGGGGTTAGAGGGGTTGCGAGCTCCGCCGCCTCAGCATACGCTCCTTTACCATTCTAAGGCCATCATCAAATGAGTATTAACGTTACCTTCATCCCTCCCCCAATGGGGAACCCCTTCCCCGGGTTTCCGCTCCGGACCGCACCAACACTCAGATCTTGTTTTAATTTTTTTAAAAAAAACGCTGCTTTTTTTCCCCCGTAAGACCTACACGGACCGACTTGACCGTTGTGATTAACAGCCGTGTGTGTGTGTGTGTGTGTGTGTGAAGCTTCCTATCCTAATCATTGTAACTGTCCTGACTTACCTACTGCAGCACCGCTCTCCTCCTCCAACACACACCACCTGTACAGTATATACACACACACACACACACACGCGGCAGCGAGTCAGCCCCCGGGAGGGGGGGGGAGGGGTGATGCAAACCGAGCGCCTGGACCCGCCCGGACAGCGCGTAAATACATCTGTCACTGTGTCCGTTGCTTGTTGCTGCTGCCCCGGCCCCGCCCATGGCCCCGCCCCCGGCCCCGCCCATGGCCCCGCCCCTCCAGGCCAGGCCCCGCCCCTCCCTCCCCGGCACCGGCCCCGCCCCCCCCGCGCGGGGATCCCCTCGGGATCGTGACGCGACTTACGATCGCGCGCCACGGGGGGCGGGGCGGAGGGGGGGGCGGGGCGGCAGCCACGTGATCGGCCGCGCGCTGATTGGCCGCCGGGCCGGGAGATCACGTGGCCCGGGACAATGGCGGGCAACGGCGGCGGCTGCTGCTGCTGCGGGGAGCGGGAGGGCGGCGGCAGCCCCGAGGAGCTGGTCAGTGCCCCCCCCCCCCCCCCCCCACTCCCGGGGCTTCGGGCTCGGCCTCCGGGCGCGGCGCGGGGCGAATGGGATTGAGACGGGTCATCCGGGCGGAGGGTGGGGTGTGCGGCCCGCGGGTCGTGGCTGCGGCCCGCGGGCAGGTTATGGTGGGTGGGTGGGTGGGTGGGGGTTGTCTCTCCTGCGCGGGCTGTAATGAATGGGGGTTGGGGGTTGGGGAGAAAGTCACCCCCTCCCCCCACCCCCACCCCGCTGCCGCACAGTGTGGGGGGGAACCCGAGCGGACACCTTACCCCGAGAGCCGGTGCGGACTTGATGGGCCGAATGGCCTCCTTTTTGCGCCGTTAGCGGTCCCTCATGTCGCCGGGTGGGGTGGGGGGGGGCACCGCCCTAAACGTTGTGATCCTTTGCCGCAGACGATTCTGGGAGAGACGCCGGAAGAAGACGATGAAATTCTGCCGCGGAAAGATTACGAGGTGCGTAGCCGGGTTTTGTGGGGCGGGGCGGGGGGGGGGACGGACGGGGGGGGGGACGGACGGGGGGGGCTGCGTTCAGGACCTGATCCCTCCCCTCCGTTCCTGCGACAAAACTCACGTAGATCGTATCGGTCGGGAACGTAACACTTAATATAAACTTACCCGCAGTGAAGGGAAGTGAAACTCCTGACGTGAAAGGCGCTCTATAAATGGAATCTTGTCGTTGTTGTTGTTGTGAAGTGCGAGTTGCGGGCAAACTGTATGAATTGCGTAGAATCCGCTGTAATCAGTAGTTACGCTGCTCGGGTGCAATTCATCGCAGCTGGTAAGGGTGCGGCCGGTGACGGGTCAAACACTTCCCGCGATTCAGTGCGTCTCGACCTGCACTTGCATTGAATCACGCGAAATGATTCACCCGCAACATTTCACCCACCGTCAAATAGGTCAAAAAAAAATTGGTCACTCAATCCACGGCTGTTTGTGGGACGCTGCTGTGTGCAATCGGCCGCCCCATTTTGCCCACAAAGTACACAGTCAACTCACTTTGTGTATCCTGTGAAGCGCTTTGAGACGTCTCGAAAAAGTGATAAGGCGCCGTATCAAATACAAGGATTATTATTAGGATACATTAAGTTCTTCTGCACATGCAGCGAATAAATGAGAGGTTAATAACTGACTGAGTTATGTTGGCGTTGATCTTGGTGACGACTTCTCTCCTTTTGCAGAGTTTGGATTACGACAAATGCATAAACGAGCCGCACCTTGAGGTGCTGGAAACACTGGATAACAAGGTAACGCTCGCCCATTGCGCAAGGCTGTGTGTCAGACACGAGGGTGATGTGAAGCCGTGACTAACAGGAGCTGCAACACAAACTTTACTCGTCCGCAGAATTGGATGCACTGGGCACAGCAGTTTTCGTTAAAGTGTTCCTGTTTGTGTGTGGGTGGGGGGAACAGAGAAGAGACAAAGTGTAAATATGGAATTTATTTTTAACCTGATGGTAATTAGATTGAATCCATAACGGACTAAAACAGGAAATTGGATGGTGGTTTGTGTGAGGAGCTGTCATAGAATCTCACAGCACAGAAAGAGGCCATTCGGACAGTGTCGGGGAGCTGGGGGAGGGATATCTGTTACATCGCTGTTGATGGGAGGCAATGCACAAAAGCCGTGGAGACGAGCAGGAGATTTGCTGCTGACTCCTGCCTGGATCTCACTCAGTCTCCTGTGGGATGAATGGCTGGAGCTTATCAACAAAACTCACTGTCTTCTCTCTCTCTCTCTCTCTCTCTCTCTCTGGTCCACACTCTCCCGCTATTTACCATGTCTCTTCACTTCCAACAGAAAGTCAAGCGGTACGAGGTGGTGAAATGGGTGTTGGTGTTCTGCATTGGGGTCTGCACGGGATTGGTATGTTATGTACATCAATGTTAATAATCTGCCACACAATCGCCGCCATATGTGTGTGTCGGCGGGGGCGGGGTGTGTGTGAGGGTGGGGGGTACAGTGCCACAGGCAGAGGGCACCCAACCCCACAGGCAGAAGCTCCTGCTCCCAGTTAACGGGACGGACGGGTAGGCTACAGATAGGCTGGTTACGAGCGGTGGATCTGAACAAGTTGAATAACCTCGTCTTTGATCTGTTACAGGTTGGTCTCTTCATCGAGGTCTTTGTTCATCTCTTGTCACAGCTCAAGTTCCAAATTATTGGGAGGTGTATCCTTTCGTTCTGGGATTTGTTTTAGTGGGAGGGGGTGTCTCTGTTTGTTTATGTGATCGGGGATGGAGGGGTCACGGTGCGTATGTGGGTGGAGGGGTGTATGCTGCATGTATTGGGGGAGATTGGTGTGTGTGTGTGTGGGGGGGGGGGGGGGGGGGGGGGTCACAGTGTGTTGTGAGTGGGGTTCACTTTGTGTGTGTGTCGCGGTGCCAGTGCTGACATATTGCTGCCCTGACTGACTGTAGCTGTGGAGGAATGCACTGAGCATGGCTGCCTCGCGCTCTCCCTCCTCGAGCTTCTCGCCTTCAACATGAGCTTCGTCTTCCTGGCCAGCCTGGCGGTAGTGATTGCGGTACGTTCTCACTGCTTGTTATCACTGCAACCACTAACACAAAGCCTGTTAACCCCCTCCCCCGACACACACACATACTGTCCCTGGCACCCCCAGGAAAACGGCTAAACTCTGATTCTTTGCCTCGCAGCCGATTGCAGCGGGATCCGGAATTCCTGAAATTAAATGCTACCTGAACGGGGTGAAGATTCCCGGGATTGTCAGGCTACGGACGCTGATGTGTAAGGCAGTGGGCGTGCTTTTCTGTGTGGCCGGAGGTTGGTGTCCTCACTCTTTCTCCTGGGGGGTGTTTTGTGGAAAGTGCAACAAGGCTTTCTGCTGTGTGAAGCACGTTGTGTAAAAGCATGTTATTGTGGAGACTGAGGTGTACATGTGTGTGTGTGTGTGTGTGTGTGTTCACCGGTTGGTGCAGCAGCCGTGTGTGCGAGAACAATACTGAATAACGTGAATCCTATAGCGTAGGGGTTAGAGTCATCTGTTTACCCAGCAGCAAGAAGGAACCCGGTTGTTAGTCGATTGGTGGATTGCTCTTCCAGGGTAATAATCCCTACAAAAAAAAGTTAAAATAAATAATAATAATTTGGTCACTCAATCCCCGACTGTTTGTGGGACGCTGCTGTGCACAATTGGCTGCCGCGTTTCGCCCACAGAATATACAGTCAATTCACTTTACAGAATATCCTGTGAAGCGCTTTGAGACGTCTCAAAGACGTGATGATGTGCAATATCAAATGCGAGGATTATTATTATCAGCACTTTTGCTGCCACTATCGGCTACACCGGTGGGAAGGTGCAGCGTCTTTGTGACTTTGTTCCCATGTTTTTGTACCAAAGTTCTCTTTGTTTTGCAGGACTGTTTGTGGGGAAGGAGGGGCCGATGATCCACAGTGGGGCAGTGGTGGGAGCGGGGCTGCCGCAGGTCAGTGATGAGCGTGAGCGCGAGTGTCTGCGCAGACACTGTCGGCTGGGGGTTGTGTGTTCCAGCTCTGACCATCACGTCTTTGTCTCGTTTCCTGCCTCCCACAGTTTCAGAGCATTACCTTCCGCAAGATCCGATTCAACTTCCCGTATTTCCGCAGTGACCGGTAAGGCTCGGTGTAATTGTTGTTGGTTTACTGTTGCCTCTCCATATGACACACACCGTCGCCGTGCACTCCCTCACTGAGGTACATCCTGTAGCTCAATGGTTAGAGCAAGCGAGAGGACCTGAGTTTGATTCCTGGGCAGGGCGCAACGTTAGGCAAGTTTCCTTACTCCACACACATGCCTCTGTTTACCTAGTAGTAAGTAGGAACTCGTTTGTTAGTTTATTGGCGGATCGCTTTCCCCGGCTTAGTAATCCCTTCAAAAATAATAATAATTTGGTCACTTAATCCACGACTGTTTGCGGGGACGCTGCTTTGCGCAATTGGCTGCCGTGTTTCGCCCACAAAATATACAGTTGATTCACTTTACAGTGTATCCTGTGAAGCGGTTTGAGACGTCTCGAAGATGTGATAAGGCGCTGCATCAAATGCAAGGATTATTATATTATTCTCACTGTGTGCTCTGTCGCAGAGACAAGCGGGACTTTGTGTCGGCTGGGGCAGCAGCGGGTGTGGCGGCAGCGTTCGGGGCCCCGATCGGGGGCACCTTGTTCAGCCTGGAGGAGGGATCTTCGTTCTGGAACCAGGCGTTGACCTGGAAAGTGGTGAGTGTGACGTGGGGCCGGGTGAACAGCTGCCGTGTTTACCCACAGCCTATAAATGCTGTGAAGCGCTCGATGTCCTAAAATCTTTGTCGAGCATCTGCGTGTTTCAGGGTCTGATCCGGATCCTCTTCTCTTCCCAGCTGTTCTGCTCCATGTCGGCCACCTTCACATTGAACTTCTTCCGCTCTGGCATTCACTACGGGAGCTGGGGCTCCTTCCAGCTGCCTGGGCTGCTCAACTTCGGGGAGTTTAAGGTGTCGGTCACTCTAAAGCTTGGTTATTGTGGGATTAATGAGGGTGGTGGGGGCTCAGTGGTGAGTAGTGGGGTGGGGGGGTCTGAGTGGTGATGGCTGGGGTGAGGGGGAGCAGAGAGGGTGCGGGGCGGGAGTTGTGGGGCGGAGGGGAGCAGGGTGTGGGGGGTTTGGTGGCGGGTGGGTGCTGAGGAGTGGGATTGAGGGGGTTCAATGGCTGATGCTGGATCTCTTCTCTTAGTGCGCAGATGGAGATAAGAAATGCCACCTGTGGACGGCCGTGGACTTGGCTTTCTTCATCATCATGGGGATCATCGGGGGCCTCCTAGGTGCAATGTTCAACTGCCTGAACAGGAGACTGGCCAAGTACCGTCTGCGCAACGTACATCCCAAAGCCAGGGCCATACGGTAAAGATCGGGGCAGAATAACAGCAGAGCCTTACACCGGGGTCTGAGGTGGGGTGGGGCCCTGGGAGGGGTGGGGGAAGGAGGGGTTTGGTGGGGGTGTCTATGCTGTGTTGTGAAGCATTGATGTCTTGTTGCCTCCTGCTGTAGGATTTTGGAGAGTTTGCTGGTTTCTATGGTGACAACACTGATTATTTTCGTGGCCTCCATGACGCTGGGCGAGTGCCGGGAGCTGCCATCACGCACAGACATCAACAATGCCTCCATGCCGGTGAGTGCTGGAGTCACAGAGCAGTCACTGCTGCTTCCGCTAAGCTGTGTCTGGTCTCCTGTTTATCCGTCGTCCCCTCCGCTCCATTATTGGTGGCTGTGCCTTCAGCCACTACGCTCCGAAACTCTGGAACTCTCCTTCGATCCCCCTGCCTTGCCGCCTCCCTCCCCACCTTCAAATTCTGTCTTCCTTTTTGATCGTGCTTACGGTCACCTCCCCCTCCCTGTACCCCTGGCTCGGGGATCAGACTCTGCACTATGAAGCGCTCTGGGATCTACCCCATGGGAAGGGCGCTATATAAATGCAAATAGTTGTTTTAAAGTGATCACCTCAATTGATCAACTGCTGTTTGGTTGCATGCCTGAGCCTCTGCTCTGCTCCTGTGTGATTTCCCTGATATCAGTCTGACCTCCCGACCCCCCCCCCCTCACTCTTTCTCTGCTCCAGGTCACTGAGAGCAGCGTGAACTCCAGCATCAAAACCTTCTTCTGCCCCAATCATACCTACAATGACATGGCCACGCTGTTCTTCAACCCGCAAGAAACCGCCATTCTCCAGCTCTTCCACCAGGAAGGTGAGTGAGTGACCCATCTCCCTGGCCACGCCTAAGCCTTCAGTTTAATCTTGCGGTGTTTCTTCTCTGGGAATAAGCTATGAGAGCAGCAGGTGATCGAGATCTGGTTTTGGAACCAGTCTTTCTCCCGCTGAGCTGCCGAACATGGCTGACCTCTTGCCCACAGGTTTCTGGACAATGGGACATGTCGTCCACCTGCGGGTTTTCGGATGCCTGTGTGTGGGGTGGGGGGGTGCACCGGGCCTCTGTGTGGGGGAGTCGGGGAAGGCCCGCGGGTGGTTGGTGGAGGTGATGGGCCGTGTGCGGAGGAAGGAGCGTCCCCCAACTTACTACTGCGTTGCCTCCGCAGGAACCTTCAGTCCCGTCACTCTGGCCGTGTTCCTGTTGCTGTACTTTGTGCTGGCGTGCTGGACATATGGCCTCGCTGTCCCCAGTGGCCTGTTCGTGCCCTCGCTGCTGTGCGGAGCAGCCTATGGCCGGCTGGTGGCAAACATCCTCCGGACGTAAGTCATTCTCTTACCATTTCCCCCTCCCCCCCCCAACCAGAGATAAACATCCTGAAGAATCTTCTGAAAGGCCGCAAGGTTTTTGTGTGTCGCCCACACAGTGGAGCTGTGGACTGAGTCACACGGCAACACCGTGTTCTGTGCGTCTGACCAGGTTGTGTCAGTGACTGTGGCTGTTGTTGGATGTGTTGCAGTTACATCGGGATGAGTCACATCTACTCTGGGACCTTTGCTCTGGTCGGGGCAGCCGCCTTCCTTGGGGGTGTTGTCCGCATGACCATCAGCCTCACCATCATCCTGATCGAGTCCACCAATGAGATCACGTATGGTCTGCCCATCATGGTCACGCTCATGGTAATTGCTGTGTGTTTGCCCTCCCGCATTGACCTGTAATGTGCTGTAATAATCTCAGACATCCTTCCCCAGAACTTTATCCCACTCTAGAGGCTGAGGGATAAGGGATGGGGACAGAGGAGCTGCTTTCTCAAACGGTGTCCGTGGAGCACGTTTATCAGGGCCGTTTACTCTATTGTCTCTCCAGGTGGCAAAGTGGACCGGAGACCTGTTCAACAAAGGGATCTATGACCTTCATGTGGATCTCCGGGGTGTCCCTTTACTGGAGTGGGAGACTGACGTCGAGATGGATAAGTAGGTGTCTCCCTCCGCTCAGTGAGAGGCCAAATCTAACACTGTCACACTCTCGCTTTACACTGAGCCTCTCTCTCACACACACACATATCAACACACGCACATACCAACACGCACATACCAACACGCACATGTATGTACCAACACACACACACCAACACACGCCCGCACGCATACCAACTACACGCATACCAACTACACGCACGCGCATACCAACACTCACACACCAACACACACATGCGCATACCAACACACACGCACGCATACCAACACACGCACACGGGCGCATACCAACGCACGAGGGCGCATACCAACGCACACACAATTAGTGAAGAAAGTTCGAACTTGTGTTTTTATAGCATCCAATCAAATAGTTTCAGAGCAGTTATTATTGTTCAGTGTAATGGCTGTTTTTGTAATTATTCCATGTAGCCACATGTTTAATTGGAATTCAAAATTAAGTGTTAGCTTGTTCGAAACCAAACCTGAGCCAAACAACAGCAACACCACTGATCTCCACAGCCAGAGTGATTGGCTTTTGTTTTTTCACCTAGACTAACAGCGAGTGATATCATGGAGCCCAATCTAACCTACGTGTATCCGCACACTCGCATCCAATCCCTCGTCAGCATCCTGCGGACCACAGCGCATCACGCTTACCCCGTCGTCACGGAGAACAAGGGCAACGAGAAGGAATTCATGAAGGGAAACATTCTGATCAGCAACAACATTAGATTCAAGGTAAACTGTGGGCAAGTGTCACCTCTCCATCACCAGAGGGTGAGCACGATGCTCTCTTGTCTCCTCCAGGGGGAATGATACACACACAAATTAATGTTTGATTGTTTGCCACTATTCCATTGCTGTGCAGCTGTGTTTGGAGTCAGAATAAAAAACTATGGCTGTTTGAACAGAATTGAAGATCCAAATAACTGGAATAATCCTTCAGCAGCGCCGCCACCAGAGGGCGCTGTGACCAGCAATGTCAGCAGCGCCGCCACCAGAGGGCGCTGTGACCTGTTTCTTCCCTAAATTTCATGTGATGGTTTAAAGTTTCACATTTACTATTTGTTTACCTCCTAATTTTATCTTAACAACTACAACCCACGACTGTCTGTGGGACACTGCTGTGAGCAATTGGCTGCTGCGTTTCGCCCACAAAATATACAGTCAATTCACTTTACAGTATATTCCGTGGGACTTCTCGAAGACGTGATAATGAGCTATATCAAATGCAAGGATTATTATTATTATTATTATTGTCTCTGTAGAAGTCGAGTATCCTGACCCGAGCTGGAGAGCAGCATAAGCGGAGTCAGTCCATGAAGTCCTACCCGTCCAGCGAGCTCCGCAACGTGTGTGATGAGCCCCTGATCCCGGAGATTGCCGAGGACGGAGAGGACATGTTACAGCAAATGCTGGAGAGAAGGTCGGTCCCTGAGAGATGCCGGCTCCGTGCCCGGCTCTGGTCCCAGCGTGTGCCCGGGTTTATGGCTGGGGTCCAGCGACCTTGGGATGTTCTCCTGACGTGATAGGCACTATACAAATGTAGTTTGTTGTTGTTGCTGCTGCTCTGTGCAGGGGGACATGTTGCCTGTGATGGGCAGAGCCTGACTGGCAGCTCGTTCCTCGACCTGTCTCTGTCTCTGACTAGGCAAAGCTCTGTCACGGCAATTTAGGGGGAGCATCTTTAAAGCACAGGCTGCTGCGAATGTGGAACTCGCTGTTGGAAGCTGTGGTTGAAACAAACACCAGCAACAACAACTACAACATCAATATATTTAAGAGAAAATTTGTTCCTCACATGAGGGAGAAGGGAGTGGAGGAGTATTAACACCGGCACGGACTAGTTAGATTGAACAGCCTGTTCCTGTACAGTTCCAGTGTGTGTCACTAGACGCGTTAAAAGAAACCTAGAAATGTTCAGCACAGGAGGCAGCTGTTTTTCTATCTCATTGTAACCTGTATTATCACCTTTATTGTTAATCTCAATTCCCAGCCCCCTCTTCTCCCCCCTTCATATCTTTACTGCTCTGGATCATTTCCTTTTTGACTTGATGTTTGGTATTGTGATGTACCGGCTCCAGGTGAAGGGGCAGAGAATAGCCAAGCGCTCTGAGGTGCTACCCTGCATGAGGGGCGCTATATAAATGCAAGTTGTTGTTGCTATTGTCCTCTAATCGTTGCTAACTGCATTCAGCATCTCTGCCCCCACATTCTGGAACTCTATCACACAATCCTTCCGCCTCACCTGCTCTCTTGTCTCCTTCAAGTCACATCTAAAGACCTTCCTCTGACTATGCCTTCAGCCATCTTCTCACCCCCACCCAGCTGCCCCCTCTACTCCTCCTGACCCCAACCCCCAGCTCGGGTGCGAAAAACCCTGACTGTCCAGTGCTCTGGGACGTCTTTTCGACGGGAAGGGCACTATACAAGTGTAATTTGTTGTTGTTGTTTGCTTGCAGACACGCCCCGTATCCCAATCTGTACCCGGACCAGTCTCCCAGTGAGGAGTGGACGATGGAGGAACGTTTCCGACCTTTAACCTTCCACGGGCTGATTCTGCGCTCGCAACTTGTGACGCTGCTGATCCGAGGCGTCTGTTACTCGGAGACTCAGTCGGTGAGAAACGCAATCTTTTCTCCTCTGAAGAACATCTTTGTTTTTACTTTCATCCGCGGAGTCCTGTAGCCTAGTGGTTAGAGCACTCGCCTCGCAAGCTGGAGGACCTGGGTTCGATTCCTGGGCAGGGAGAAACGTTTGGCAAGTTTCCTTATGCCACACGTACTGTTTAATTAGGATCAAGTAGGAACCTGCTTGTTAGTCAATTGGCGGATCACTTTTCCGCAGGTAATAATCCCTTAGTCCTCTCGACGTGAAAATCACTGTATCAAATGCCAGGATTACTATGTTATCACCAGAAAAGTTTTCCCCAGTTTGCTCTTCAGTACTCGACTCAACAAAAATAAAATGAATAATAATATTTTGGTCACACAATCCACGACTGTTTGTGGGACACTGTTGTGCGCAATTGGCGGCCACATATTGGCCCAAAATATATAGAGTTGATTTACTTTACAGTGAAGTGCTTTGAGAAGTCTCAATGACTTGATAAGGTGCTATGTCAAATGCAAGGAATATTATTATTGGACTCGCAGACTCTGCCCAGCCCTGGGCTGCTGTTTACTGAGGGAGCAGCGCTCACAAAGGCTTATCAAAACGGGTAGGTTTACTTTAATTGGCGAACACTCTTGAGGATGAGTGGGGGGTGTTTACAGCTCTTCTGTATCAGTCCCTGTTGGCACTCAGCTGCTGTGTGGGACCCACGACTGATCTCTTCTCCATGACAGAGCGCTACCCAGCCCCGGCTCTCCTACTCAGAGATGACAGAAGATTATCCGCGATATCCTGACATCCACGACCTGGACCTGACTCTCCTGAACCCCAGGATGATTGTGGTGAGTGTTGGGGCTGCGGAACCCTGCAGGGGGGTGGAGGAGGGGTTGGGAGGGGGAGGCACAGCATGGGGTGGCGGGGAGGTGCTGGGAACTTGTCTGTTGATTAACTTGAGCGCTGAGTGAAAGTGGTGGAAATCTCAGAATTTTCTGCTTACAAATCAAATCTTTTTTTCCCACCTCTCGATGGGGTGACCTCCCGCTGTCAGGGCAAGATTTGTTGTTGTAACCCAATGCCCCTTTACTCTAGGACATCACACCGTACATGAACCCATCTCCCTACATGGTATCTCCAAACACGCATGTGTCTCAGGTGTTTAATCTGTTCCGCACCATGGGGCTGAGACATCTGCCGGTGGTCAATGCAGTGGGAGAGGTGAGTGACAGACTCGATACAAACCTAACCATCTCTCACAGGGTGAAACCTCCGTGTTGTGTGTCCATCGTCCCCCCTCACTTCCTGTGGGGAGAACATTCAGGTGCTGTGGCCTCACTGAAGTAGATGGTAATCTTGTTATTGTTATTGTCTGGCTCCTGTCTGAATACTGCAAGGTTAATTTCTACAGTTGCATCCAGGGTGCTCAATAAACAGCCAGCTCCCCCCTCACCTCTACCCCCACCTCTGGCCTAGCCCTCCACAGCTGTATTTGGACTCTCGACCTGAAAATAAACTGAGATTGAGATAATCTCCCGATCCTGGTGATGTGTCTTTTCAGAAATTCTATGTTTATAACAAACTTGGTTTAAATGACTCACCATCACAGCGAGAGACTCACGTGGGTGTGAGACTGAGGCCTGGAGCCGTGTCTCGCTCACTTGGTTTCCCATTAGCCGAGCTACAGAAGCCGAGTGTTTTCCTCGGGACGTGATTAATAGGAGCAAGGCTGCTGAGCCATGGCTTTTAACGATGCTTTTATTGCTGAATTCCTCAGGGGTCCCAGTGAAAGCTGGTTCGTTCCGTGACCAGATTTTCTGGAAAGCAGTCGATCCCACTGACCATAAACTGACTGTTAATTAAGATTGATTGAATTCTCACCAGTTTAACTACAGATTCCCTTCATTTAACAGACCACCCCCCACCCCACACACAACCCTGCTCCGACGGCAGCAGCTGTGTGAAGCCCTTCGGGACGTCCTCCCGTCGTGAACAGCGCTGTAAACTGTCATAAATATAAATATATTATTGTGTTGGAGAGAAACAGAGTGTCTCTCTCGGGGGTAGGATTGACGGCAGTGCCTGGCATTGTTCGAGGGTAGTAGTAATAATAATAATCCTTGTATTCGATATAGCTCCTTATCTCGTCTGCAAGGCGTCTCAAAGCGCTTCACAGAATATACAGTATAAAGTGTAGTGAGTCTATTTTGTGTGTGAAATGCAGCAGCCGATTGCGGACGGTAATGACATAGAATTATTTTTATTCTCTTTCAGATTGTCGGGATCATCACAAGGCACAACTTGACACACGAGTTTCTACTCTCGAAGCTTCGGCAGCACAACATGACGATCTGAGAGTTAGTTACAGGCTCTATGAGGGTTTGACTGTGAGGTGCCGTTTAGCCCAGCGCCTCACGCCGGCCGGTGCCTCTCTCGCAGGCTCAGAATTAACCCTCGCGGCTTTGCGGCCCCACACACTGCAGTCAGCGTCAGGTGGGAATTCCGGTTAGTTTCTGCACAGCACAGTGACTGTTAATTGTGGGCCTGCTGTAAATAATCGCCGTCTCTCAGGAGTCACAGCTCTTTAACTTCACATAATGGATCGCTGCACTCGCCAGGAGCTGTGGTGGAGAATTAATCTGAACAGAACCGATTCCTTCGTAGCTGCATCATGGGACCGACAGACAATATTAGATTAATATCGTAGATTGTTTACACACGGATGCTGCCAACAAGGTAACCTTTTGCACAGTGGGTCCCAGGATCCAGTGTGTGTGTATGTATGTGTGTGTGTAGCTTTGAACCCGACCTGTTCTCTGGTGTAAACTCCTGGTGTGTAGGTTTGCTGATGCTATGGGATATCACAGTTTGGGTTAGATGTTGGGTCTCAGCGTGTACGATGTGTACGACACACGTCACTACATTTATAGAGCTCTTGATCTCCCAACACTTTTCCTCTATTCCTCCACCTTCCTGCCCCTTCCTTCCCCATCTTCAGGTCATGCCTGAAGACCTTCCTATTTGACCAGTGCCTAAGGCCACCTGCCGCCGCATTGGCATTGTGCACCGCCACTGTCGGCACTCTGGGACCTGCCCTGCATGAGGGGCGCTGAGTCGTTATTATCATGTCCCGGGGGTGCAACCACCTGAGCGAGCAAATTGATCGATGGCTTTTACTCGTAGCACTGAGCGCTCGAGCAAGCAGAGACCTGAGTCTGTGACTGAGTTACTCAGAGACTCGATCGAGTTCAGCCTTTGTGTTTTACGAGCTCCAAAACCCTCAGCAAGAAATTGAGAAGTCTTTCACATCATTTCAGGAGCTTTTCGCTGTTCAGTGAAACTCAAATTCACGGGTCCATCATGTGCAGTGCAGGGGAGAAGGGCCCATAGGCCTCGTTCTGTGCTCTAATTTCTCTGACTCCAGGTAACATTTTTGCATTAATTTAACACTAACGTAAGGAAACTAACTCTAAACGGTACAAAAACTAACAGGAGTTTCACTGGTCACATTCCTTCTTATTAAACCTGTATTTTAGATTTTTTTTTATTTTGCCTTCGAGACTGCAAACGCTTGTAGAGTAAGTGCAGTTGTCGGCTGTTGTTTATTACAAGGCTGGCGCCGCCTGGTGTATTTTTATGAACAAATCTTATGATATTTGTTTTCATTCTGCCGCAAAGCCGTGTCTGTCATTTGGAGGTTTCCCCTGGGGATCGTAAGGACCTGTTTCAGCGAGGCAGAGCGAGCAGCCCCAGTTTCAGGGAGAATTTTTGTGTGTGTGTGTGTGTGTGCACAGATGGCTGCTAAACTCACTAAATATCCAGTGTTGCACATTAGTTGTTCTCGTGAAGCTGCAGCTTACTAAAACAATCTTTTTCGTCAGACCTTAAAACCATGTGCTCCCCGAGCCACCATTTGAGGAATTATTTATAATAATAATACTCGTTTTATTATTCTAAATGTACTGTGACGCGGAAGGTTTGAGGAAGCGTTTGCCTGATGTGAGTGCTCGTTGCTGTTGCTTCTTGTCTGATTTGCACCAGCGTCAGATTTGCGCTTATTAAATTCACTTTCTTTGTTCATAAAATTAAATCCCATAAATTACCCCTGCGGGGGCTGCTGCTGATTTCCATGTATATCAACGCCTCTATTAATGATGCTTCAAAACATAAATGCACATTTGATGATCATATTTTACACTGGTAGCTTCAGGCTGAAACCATTAAATCCACCTGTCACTACACCCTGGAGGCTGATATAACCTTGTGCTTGTATGTATATATATATATATATTGTGGGTTTGCTGGTTCTCTTGCCCTGCGGAGGGCTGTGTTGGGCTGACCACACAACACTACGTGCAGTGGAAATGTACTGCTTGTATCTGCTGGCATTTCCTGTGTGATCCCTTTGTGTGGATTTTGTAGCGATCCCTTTTAAAGGAAAAAAAAGTTTCACCTTTTCTCCTCACCTTGTGTGTAATCTGAGCTGTTGTGTTAGTGACGCTTGGGGTGTCTGTGAAGGGAGCGTGGCGTCATCTTGTGCTGATATCAATGTAGCATTTGCTCCCACAAACCTGTGACTGTCTGACTGTGTGGACACATCGTGGAAAACTTGGAGAATATTATATCAATGTTTTAAAGCACGGAAACAGTGCTGAGACCAGAATGAGATTCGCTGCGACACCATCTCCCCTGTGAGAGATCTAGACATTTGCACTTAATATTTCTTTATCTGCAGATTATTTAACATCTTTGTAATTTAGCTTCTGATCTGATTTGGAATTTTTATTTTTTTATTCTACATATTTGTTGCTGTATTTTGCAGCCTCTGTTTGTTTTTAATTAGATTAATTGCAGTAAGTTTTAATTCTTTAATTGTAATAAACATTCCATTTGTGCTCCTCCAGGTGTCCTCCTGTTTATTTCCAGAGCGATAATAAAGTATTAAACCAAACAGCCCATTCAATGGCTTCAAAGGATATAGGGTGTGTAGTGACTGTATTTTGTAGGTGAATGCAGCAGCTAATTTGAGCATAGCGGCATTCCACAATAGTTATGATGTGAGTGACCAGTTTATCTGGGGGATTGTTGAATAGATTTACCTGATTCATCCTTGACTCATAAATGTGAGTGCTGGGCTTATGATTCCAGCAGCACTGACCTGTCCACTTGCCCTGAGTGGTAGTTGGCTCAGTCTGTCTTTGCCTTCGAACCTGTTCTGAACCCGTTCTTCTGAAGTTCCTTTTTATGTTCAGATGGACTGTTTCAATGGAATCTACGCACCTGATAATGTGGATTCTACACATATTGACCCGAGCCAATCAGCCAGTTGTTACTGGATGTGACGAGTGCCCTGATTGCAGCGAGCACCCGTGTCTGCTCAGAGCAGCTTGAGTGGGAGCTGGCGCAAGCTTTCACCACTGGACTGATGTTTAATAATCTGACGAATAGAGCCTCTCAAGGTAAAATATTCATCTGTGACAGTGACTGTGAGTGTCCTGCTTTAATAGCTTCACTTATAAATCCTGTCTAATCCCAGGAGAGATCTCTGCACGCTGGAGTACTTGTTATCTGCCGAGTTCGGTTTCGACAACCACCTGTGTGTTTTCACAAGAAGAGTGTTTGGCTGACTCGTTTCTCCCACGTAGTACACAGTCAATCCACTTTACAGTATATTCTGTGAAACTCTTTGAGATGTCTCAATGATATTAAATGCTATGATTATATATTGCTGCACTTACTGATGGTTTTCAGAGAAAGGAGCTCCAGCTGCTTCTGCATTGACATCAATGTAACGGGGCTTTCTCGATTATCCTACCACAAATGCTAGCAAAGCAGGTGTGTGACAGCAAGTAGTTGTTGCACTGTCACACTGGTGTCAGAGTAGGCAGCCCAGCGTGGGTTAGACGGTGCTTTCTGTTGTACAAGCTGAGGAGGAAGAGCGATAGGCTTTTAAATGCTACAGAACTCCAATCCAGGAGAGCAGCTGACACCTTTTTGTGTTCTGCTAATAGCCATCCATTAAATAATAATTTCTGCATGAAAGTAGTGGTCCCAGACTTGGTGATTGAAGTTAGCAGTTGTAGATGCCTCAAGTTAACACTTTAAATCACATTCCACTATTTATTTCCTTGATAGGCCACAACAGGCCATTCAACACAAACCACCCAGCTCTGCACACCTGTATAGGACTGCCTCCCTTCTCAGACTCCATCCGGTCACTTCATTTTCCAATGAAATCAAATATTGAAGAATTTGGAGAAGATTCCTGTCCTAAGAGTATTCACTCCTTATTGCTCTTGTGAGTTGATGCCGTTTGCTAATTGAAGCAAAGTGGCCTTTAGGTGAGGATGGCCACCACTGCCAAGCCCTTAGCTGCCAGACCCTCTGGAGCTCATTTCTTAAATAAGACCACATTGTCTTGTTTGCTCGTTGAAGACATACTTTATGCTTGATAAATACAAATTATTAGAGGGAACGACGCAGAATCAGGTTTTGCATCGCATTGAATGGTTGCTTCCCTCTCTGTCCTTCTGTACAGAATCTTGAGTCCTGCTCACCCGATGTTCCTGTAGTGAGTGTGTAGATCTATACAAAGCTTATTATGCAGTCAGTAAATTTATGCTCTGACCAAGAAACTAAGGGGTTTCAGCTGCACACTGAATCATATCCTTTGCGCCCTGTGGGGTGAATTAATGTGCTTAACTGACATCAAAACTTAAGTGGTTTCTTCAAACTAACTAGTCGCGTCTCGCTTGTTTTGAAGAGCAGAGGCACATGGTAATGAAGCATGATATTGGCGAATCCTGTTACATCTGCTGTCTCTCACATTAAGTGATATTATTGCATAATATTTAATCCAAAGGGATTATTTAACAAGTAAAACCCTGATTAATTATTGATTTTCTGACAACTTGTTTGCTGTAGACTTTAAAGACCTATCCATGGATAGCTTGTTTTCAAGGTGCTGCTATGATAACCTTCAGGAGTGTAACAATCCACACATTCTCTCACACACGATTCCCTTCAAATACTTTTTTTTTAAAAAAGTATAGATCGTGTCTCCACGTGGAGTGGAGCAATGATAACACATCTGCAAAGTGCTTGAGAATTCCTTCAAATAGTTAAGATATTTGAAATATTTGCTGTTAGTGGCGCTGCCTGACCCGCAGGAGGCGCTGTTACCACCCTCAGCCTGACCCGCAGGAGGCGCTGTTACCACCCTCAGCCTCACCCGCAGGAGGCGCTGTTACCACCCTCAGCCTGACCTGCAGGAGGCGCTGTTACCACCCTCAGCCTCACCCGCAGGAGGCGCTGTTACCACCCTCAGCCTCACCCGCAGGAGGCGCTGTTACCAACCTCAGTCTGACCCGCAGGAGGCGCTGTTACCACCCTCAGCCTGACCTGCAGGAGGCGCTGTTACCACCCTCAGTCTGACCCACAGGTGGCATTGCTGCCACCCTCAGTCTGACCCACAGGTGGCACTGTTACCACCCTCAGTCTGACCCGCAGGTGGCGCTCCCACCACCCTCAGCCTTACCCTCCTGAACAGGGCATCGGTGGGATCATAGTTTAACGTTTCAGGCGAAGGTCACCGCCTTTGACAATGCATCGCACCCCCCAGCGCTGCTCTGGAGCCTTGGCTGCACTGGGGCCCTTGATGGGCTGCATTTTTGTTTAACCAGTGCGATGCCGGCGCCCCCACTCCGGCTCCTTGGGATGCCCTCCAGACGTGAAAGGCACTATACAAATGTGATTTGTTGCCGTTATTGTTGAAGCCCCACTCCCTCCCCACAGCCACACACAGCCACTTCATGAGGTTTTTCATTTTATTTTGCACCAGAACTCATAGGAAGTGACTGATCGTCATTTCTCACAGCAACAGAAATGACAGTACAAATAAATACAGTATGTTTAAATTAATATAAATAGATTTAAATAGTATTTAAACTGACACTTGTATATACATTAAGCATTTAATCCGAGAATAGAGCTCGTAAACAGTCTATAGCAGGATTCTACTCAACATCAGTTGGAGTTTGTGGGGCAAAAGAGGAAGAGGTTGAAGCTGCAGTGACTTGGATGTGGAGGAGAGAGTTGGCTGCAGCTCGGTGTCAGCCCTGCAAACGAAGAGAAAGAAATGAAGCATTAAAATGCGTTCACACTGAACTGCTCCTTGCTATATTGGAAATGGTGACTGCTCCTGGTTATAGTTCTGACTCTTCAGTGATCAAAATGATCTGGGAACACTCAAAACACATCATGCAACTATTAGAAACATAGAAACAGGTGTAGGACATTCAGCCCCTCGAGCCTGTTCCGCCATTCTATAAGATCAGGGATGATCTGTACCTCAACTCCAATTACCTGCCCTCGCCCCGTATCCCCTTAATACCCTGACCTAACAAATTGCTATCCAAATGGGTAGGTTGCAGGAAGGTAAAGCTAAATACAAATCAGATTGTGGCTTTGTCCACAGGAATCCTGTTTAATAGCTCTCTCAAACCCGACCGGGGCTCAGAGCAGAGAAGGCTGAGGATAGCCAATGGTGTGTTCCACAATGAAGCCCGGCGGAGGTTCCCAGGCTAGACCACAGGAAAGCCTTGGGACGGTCGAGGAAAGAAGAGACGGGGAGGGTGGCAAGAAAGGAGAACTGAGTGTGAGAACTGAGTGGAGGCTAATCAGACAGGGATGGGGCCATTTTGGAGGATGGGAGCTTGGGTCAGGGGTGGCAGCCGAAAGGAGCATAGTGAGACCAGGAGCGGGCAATCAGAGTGACAATGGGGGTCAATGTCAGCCCACTGACATGAGGAGGGTGGGAGGGGGAGTAAGGGAGATCAACGCAGGATAGTCTGGGAATAGGACAATGTAGAGTTGTATTAAAAACTTGATAAGCTTCAAACAAATTTATCTTGCAATACTTCAGAAGGCAATGGGTTGAAAGTCTAGGAAGGAATCTGGAGTAGGGAGTTATCAGTGATCAGGTATTTTATATTAAATAACCTCCTGGGCTCAATAAAATATACCAAGGCCCATAAATATGGCAATTTGGGAAGTGGAACAATCTGCTGCTTTCTCTGATTTGAATCCGCTCTCAATCACACAGCAGAGAGCGATTAAAGACACACACTTAATATTGTAATCTGTACATGTTCTAAAATAATTCAGGAGATGAAGTGAATTGTGTTATTGGGTTTTTTCCAGTTAAGAGCTCTGTTTGAAGCTTATCAGTTAAGGGTTCTAACAAAATTCTACATTGATGAGCACATTTTCTCCCAGATTGAGACTCACCGTAAAGGAAATCATTAGCAGCCCAGGCCACTCATGGCCCCGATTCGATCCAGTTTTACTCCAAAGCAGCCCCTTGATGGTCCCTTTTTGCTTCTGCCGTTAAATCGTAGGGGGCTGATAGTGAGATCTTTAAGGAGACGGAGCAGGAGCCCGTCATGCTGGAAGGATCTACCCCCGATGTCTCTGGCATCGCGGTCCCACAGAAGGTCCATGTCGGCTTGATCGAGGTTCAGATCACGCAGAGTTCCAGCCCGGGATGCCTCCTCCGCCTCCATGTCCGAATCTTCTGAGGACAAGTAGGGACCGTATTCATCTTCCAGGAGCCTGGATAAGATCTGAAAAGACATCATTAAAATATTTAAGGGGGTAATAATCCCTTCAAAAAAAATAATAATTTGCTCACTCAATCCACGGCTATTTGTGGGAGCAATTGGCTGCCGTGTTTCGCCCACAATATAATCAGTCAATTCACTTTACAGTATATTCCGTGAAGCACTTTGAAACATCTCGAAGATGTGATAAGTCGCTATAACAAATGAAAGGATTATTAAACAGTTGAACAAGATAATAATTAAAATGCCTCCGGCTTGGATTCTGGTTACAGCTTTAAAGCTACTCTTAGTTTGAGTAGAAAGGAAGAGAAGGTGCAATAAATGACTGGTCAGTTGGAAGAACGAGAATCCGTTTCCTTCCTCACTGAATTTGGTTAATATCTCCGCTCTAAATCAGCCCTCTGGTAATTCTTAATAGTTAATCACCAGTTAACTGGTTGTGTTTGAATATAACTTGTTCACTGGACATTTTCAGCTGCTAATGATAATAATAATCTTTGCATTTGATATAGCTACTTACCACGTCTATGAGACACAGAATACACTGTAAAGCAAATTGACTCGAGATTTTGTGGGCGAATTGTTTCACATTTGATGAAATACAATTATTAAATATTCTATGACTGAGGAGGATAATAGAGTAATAGAATATTATCTCCTTGGTAATAGTGTCTGATGTGTCCCTCTTTCTCCAGAGGACAAATTAGAAGCTGAAATACATGTAACTAGTCACCGTTAGAGCAGCAATCTCTCCAATGTTACATGACCACAACAGCCACGAACTCCATCGCTGACTCAGTGCTCACTCTTTGCTATTAGTTTGAATAATCAGTTACTAATAATCATCGTCTTTCTCTCACCTGGAGACTGTCCACACCTGTTCTGGGTCTCGCCTGGACTTGGACCTGGATCAGGAGGAGAAGCATGAGACCACAGGGGAAGCTGACGTGTGCGTTCATCTTCTCTTGAACCTCTTGGTTGGCAATGGATCTGTCGCCCTCGTCCTCTGGTTCTGTACCTCTCACTCCAAGACTTTTATCTCCACTCACACTGACGTCACGTCACTCTCAGTGATCCCATCATTCATTCCCCTTCTCTCCATCTGTCACTTCAACTGAGATACAGGAGCAGCGAGTGTGTGTGTGTGTATTTGTGTGTGTTGTATGTGTGTGTGTGTTCTGTGTGTATGTGTGTGCATTGTGTCTGTGTATGTGTCTGTGTGTGTTGAATGTACGTGTGTGTGTTCTGTGTGTGTGTGTTATGTTCTCTGTGTGTGTGTGTTCTGTGTGTGTGTGTTGTGTTCTGTGTGTGTGTGTGTTATGTTCTCTGTGTGTGTGTGTGTGTGTGTGTTGTGTTCTCTGTGTGTGTGTGTGTGTATGTGTGTGTGTGTTGTGTTCTCTGTGTGTGTGTTGTGTTCTCTGTGTGTGTGTTGTGTTCTCTGTGTGTGTGTGTGTTGTGTTCTGTGTGTGTGTGGGTGTTGTGTTCTGTGTGTGTGTGTTGTGTTCTGTGTGTGTGTGTTGTGTTCTCTGTGTGTGTGTGTGTGTGTGTTGTGTTCTGTGTGTGTGTGTGTGTGTGTTCTGTGTGTGTGTGTGTGTGTTCTCTGTGTGTGTGTGTGTGTGTGTGTTGTTTCTCTCTGTGTGTGTGTGTGTGTGTGTGTGTGTGTGTGTGTGTTGTTTCTGTGTGTGTGTGTGTGTGTGTGTAGGCACAAGCCAATTCCCGTTGTCACTTGTTGGGGAAGTGCGGATGGGATGTATTATTGCATTGACTTGTGTGGCCGTCGGTATCAGACACCGAGTCACAGTGACAGTGACATTGATCCATTTGGACTCTGAGTAACTCCGGGTCAGAGATTGTGAAACCGATTCATGTTGTATTGTGTGTGTGAGTGAGTATTTGGTCTGTAACTGGTTCTTGATATCCGGATCAGTCGCAATTACTCACACAGTCCCGTTGCCGTCCTCTTCGAGGTGTTCTGGTGGAAACATGTTACTGTTTCAGCCAAATAATAATTAATAGCAGTCGCTGAGAATGAAATAACGATGATTTAAGGACAGGTCGCGCGTCAAATAAATCAAAGGTATCCGGGATGTGAGTGGGGAAGTGGAGTGAGAGGTGAATCCACTTCTCACGATCACTGCATTTGGTGCGTAAAGTGTTTGAATTGCTATTCAGATCCTAAATTGTGTTTCTATCGCCCACCGATTAACTGCATTTTGTTGGGAAGCGGTATATTATATATATATATGTGTGTGTGTGTTACTCGACTTCAAATCCAATTAAAAAATGTTTTCGAAACTTAGGAGGGACTGACCACAGGTTCCTCATTTATTGGGGAATGTCGCAGTAACTGTCGGTATTGGGGTATCCCAGAGCTGAGGGTGTAGTCGGGCACTGATGGAATGATAAATAAAACGCAATTGCAATAACGGAAGCGTCAGTTTATACATTGCATTAACTCAATCACTAAATGCCGCAATTTAAAGGCACAGAGAAAGGGGACTTCCAAACACGAGTGTAAAATTTGGTTAGGAAAATCTGACACCACCGTTACTGACGGCAGAAACAGCGAGACGGTCACATCAGGACAGAAGAATTTGCTAAGAATAAGACGAAAGAACACCAAAGTCCATCCAGTCCCCATGATCTCTAATCATGAAGTAATCCTGGCATCTGACCCTTATCATTTCTTCGAGTCGTCTCGAAGCACTTAACAGAATATACTGTAAAGTATATTACTGTATGTAATGTATGTATTGTATATTTTGTGGGTGAAGCTGTATATCCAGTGAATATATATATTAACCAGCGCTGAAACTGAAGTGAGAATATAATCGCATACCCGTTACTTTTGACTAAAATATTCGGTGCACAGTGTATCTTGGAAAGAGTATCCACTTAATGTGGTGCTTTGTTATTGGTCCCTTTGACTTTAAATGGTAAACAGAATCATTTGTTGAAAGTAGATTTAAAGGTTATTTTGTGGACACGTTCAAATGTGCCCATTGGAGAGATGGAGTTGGGAACCGACGGGAATAAATGACATGGAGGTGAGTTGGATTTAATTACGTTTACAATGCAGATTAATCGGTTAAACTTGTAATCAATGATACGCTTTGCAAAGATATAATCCTACATAAACCCTCGCGGTTTAGGGAATGGGGGAACTGTATACTTCCAGCAACATGGTCTGGTTCAGTTATCCCAGCGGGATATACAGTAACTTCACATTATATTGCTTTACACATGTATCAGCTGACGCATAAAGTCAGTGAATTGGTTACCATGTTCCCTGAAGACAAATCATTTTCTTTCTCTTTCAGTGAAGTTTTTCTGCGCTCATAGGTTTATATCTTTAACATCACTGTTAATTGTGTCATTGGAAAGTTAAAACTACATGTTGAGTTGGGTGCTCAATCACTTAAAGTAAACCCAAGGTATATTTTGTGAAGCTCTTCGAGACGTCGCCACAAAGTGATAAGGTGCTACATCAAATGCAAGGATTATTATTATATTATTATTAATTGTTTACCGGTGATATTTGCTTCAACTGGGTGTATTTTGACAGATCATACATAGCATTGCAACACTTTTTTAACATAAATGTGAATGGGGGCTCGGGTTTGGAGCCTGCATTAGGTGAGGTGAGATATTTTCACTGTTTTAAATCAGTATCACTTCCCTCACTTCCTGATATTTCACGTCTGTTAATTTGGTTCTGAGATGTTTGGATAGTATGAGGGGTTTGATACAATGCGCCTTCTTTATTGTCGAGTTGTTCTCTCTAACGCAGTGGCACCACTGTACTTCAGGAAAGAATCCATGGGGTGGTTGGTGCCCTCTGGGCAGGTTATGTGGGCAGATCCGCACCTCAGTTGATAGCTGTATCTCCGGAGTGAGGTTCCAATCCAGAATTCCCCAACAGATCCCCTCTTCCCCATTGGAAACATGAAGGGAAAAGGCCTTTCAGTCACGTCGGCTTTCTACTGTGGCATGTTGGCAGCTGCTGAGAGGTGGGAGGAACGTATGTGTTGGTGGACACGTTTGGTCCGAAAGCAGTTGCCTCAGTAAAAGGTGGATAGTGTTGCCATGAAGATTGCTTTGTGAGTATTGGGAGTGGTCCGGGTTTACATTGCTGTCTATCCATTGCTTCTGTGACTGAGGCAATCAGACTCCACCGAATAATAGTCTACAGGTGCAGACCTTCAGCTGTGTGAAACCATTGGTTGTATGAGTGAGATTGTATGTAAAATGACAATTCATATCGACAATTCATATTGTAGCTTTGTTTTGCTGTGACAACACAGAATGGAAACCGGTTTACTATCTCACGAGCTTGTTCAGTGTGTCTACGTTATTTTTTTTAAATGAACATTGGTACTCATGTGCTTATATGGCTTAAACAGCGCTGAGGTTACAGAGAACATTTTCCAGCAACAGAAAAAGTGAATAGTGATTACATGACTCCCCAATCCATTACTCTCACCAGATTATTGTGGACGTTTATTTACTTGACCAACCCACCAGCATTGTTTAGGAGGCGAGCTCTAAAACTCTGCTTATTCTCAATAAGGTAAGTAATAATACTTGACACAAAATTCATCATCAGAAGAAAAATCATTTATTAATTCTAATCACCCCGCACGTATAATAACGTCCACACTTATTGCACCAAAACTCGCACAAGGCGCGATCACCAGATCACCAAAAAATAAGTTACAATAAATATACTTTCTCTTAAATTAATATAAATAGTTTTCCTCCAAAGTACCATGAAATAGGATGACATCTACACGATTGTTTGAGAACAGTTTAAAATGGCAAAGATACGACTAGTACGCAGTCTACAGTGGGACTATGGAGTTTATAACAGTTTGTGTAACCAAATGTGAAGGAGATTTAGATGAAGTAAAGGCTGTAGAGAGGGTAACAGACGGGTTTTCTTCACATTTTTACTCTTTCAGTCAGATTCTGGGAAGGAAAAAAAAAGGAAATTAGTTGAAACACACACTTTACAATAAGGAATCCAGTAGTTTGGGTATTTCCCAATTAGATGTCACAGTTAAAGATCATAAGAATCTGTTACAGTTGACAGCCAAGTCTATCATCATACACAAGTGGGTGTGATTTACATGGTAAAGTACACAATTTATTAATTCTAATCTGGGGGAAAACAATTGAGAGAGATTAATGAGAGAATGACTGTGGAACCTGATTTACAGGGATTGTCTAATGGCACCAGAGTTATTCAATGAGAGGGAAGTTAATGAAGTGAATGTGGTTTAATGAAAAGAGAGAGTTGTGATATTTAGGATCATTGGTGACATTCAACGTTCAAACTATCCATCTGTTTATTTCTGTGCGTGAGTTTATAAACCATTTCTGTCTGATCAACGCGCAAACGATTCCGTGTAATCGATGGTAATAGTTTCTCTTTGAAGCCTTAAGTAGTGAAGTTTTGAGCTGCGGCTAATGTAAAGTACCAACAACACGGTGTGGAGTTAGGAAGCTTACCTTAAGTGAAGTGAGTTAGCATCCCAGGTCACTCATGGCACCGATTCTGTCCAGTTTCCCTCCAAAGCAGCCCCGCGCCGACCCCTTCTTGTTTCTGGCCCGGAATCGGAGAGGGCTGTAGGCGAGCAGTCGAGTTAAACGTGCATCGTGAAGGCTGTGCCTGGTTTGGAAATCGCGGGAGTCCCTGTCCCAAGGCAGCTCCGACTCAGGTTGGACACTTTCTACCTCTGGAGAGGCCTCCCCTACAGCGGTATCGTCAGCCTCGCTGTCCAGCTCCTCCTGAATCAGAAGGCGCTCCAACTCCTCTTCTAAAATTCTGGACAAGGTCTACAATAAAGGTGGGAAATGTTAGAAAAGGGTAGAACATAATTACGCTGCATCAGTGCCGGGGTCAAGCCCTGATAGCAGAGATCGGAGCACTAAGTAGAATTGTCCTAATAATGGCAGGAAGGAGCACTGAAGCCTGATTCAAGCAATGAATAATATATATAATAAAAATAAACTATTATGTAAAATGCTATGTAAAGCAATGCTATGTAAACTGTACATTAGCTTTCAGATAGGCTTGCAGTTGCAAAGGGAAATTTCAGGAAGGATTCCAGGTAGTATTTGTTTACCGAGAGGCTAATTAACCTCTGACTCGAACAGGTTAGCCTGGTTGAGCCCAAAATTCTGGCGTGTTGAGGCCAACAGCTTCTTGCTGTGCTGGCAAGATGTCAAGGTGACTCTTCTGGAAGGATGAGATCACATGGAAGGATAGCCTTCTTGATGGAAATCGATCATTTGAAGTTTCTTTTTGAACTCTGTGTTGCACTGAACCTGATCATCCTATCTTCTCACAGTTCTTAGTCTGGCTATGCTTCCTATAACAGTTAATAGTGTCCAGGATCTGTGAACAATTGCTATTCACCTTGCGGTATATTCAGTGAAGTGCGTTGAGATGCCTTGAAGACGTGATAAGGCACTATATCAAATGCAAGGATTATTATTATTATTATTATTGTGTCTCTTACCTGGAGGTCGTGCTGTGGCCTGGGTCTGGCTTGGACCTGGATTAGCAGGAGAAGCAGCAGTCCACAGGAGTAAACTGTGTTTGAATTCATCTCGCCTGGTTCAGCTTCTGGTTTGATGTGGGTCTCGGTTTCTTTCGGTCTGTCCCTCCACCGTGATTCGGGGACTTTTATCCTCCTCGGGCTGTGGTCATGGAGGTCATGTGGTCAGGAAACATTTTCTAAGAAACTAAATCCATTTGGTTCCGTCACTCTTTAGAGATAAAGGGCATGTGGCAGGATCAGGAGACATTTCCTTTTAAGTGGCCTTTTTGCATTTGATTAACATATAGGGAGGACGGTCTGATTCTATTCGCTTTCAAATCAGACTCAGTGGGTGGGAGAAATCCAGCGCTTTCCAATTGATATTGGAGTATCTGGGATAGGGAAAGCAATAGGACTTTCTTTTGGTTAGATGTTTGGGTGTTTGAGCCCATTCCAACAGATATATTGATGTAAATTCTGTAAATTGGTGAGACTTATGGCAGGACATAGCTTTGCTTGGATGTCAGGATGTAGTGAGAAATAGTGGCTGTTTGATGGTGGTGGTGGGTTGAGTTTACACATTGATCGCAAACTTTCCGGAGGTGTTGGGGGTGGGGTGGTGGTGGGGAGGGGGGAGAGAACCGCAGAAGTTGGAGAGAATGGTATTGAGTTACAAAGTTTTCCAACATTAATGTTTCTTTAAGTAGCTGAGTTCTTGATTGCTGTCACGAATACTTGCAGACGCAGATGGATATCCGGAATAAGTTCGAGGGAATCCAAGGGCGACGTCCATTTGATTCCTGAGCGTAATTACACACATACCAAACGGTCATTAATGTTTGGGGACACCGCTTGGGTTTGGGTGTGGAATTCTGTCGCTTCTGCTTAGGAGAGCAGATCCGATTCCTGATACTTTTAGGTGTGTTCTTTGTTTGGGAGCAGTCGAGGTTTTGGGTTTTCTTGAACACGGCAAACGATAGAAGTATAAAACCCCAGATCTGATATAAATTTTTAGTTTGTTTGATTAACTATGCCATTAAAGTGCTATGTGGCTTGTGTTACAGAGCTCGGTATGGAAAGGGAGCTGATGGCATTCCTCTTGAACCATTGCAAGAAGCAGAGCCTGGGTAGGACACTGCACCCCACAGCTTCACTAAGCAATAACAATTACTTGGAGAGAAGGAATACTTTGATGTATTCTGAGGTCTATGGATAAAGCTATTACACTGCTGCTGGCAATGTTGAGTTTGCTTCGGTCACTCACTGCGATCCTGAAGGACCAAATGGTATTATCTATCTGACAGATTGCATTCAATTTCTTGTGAAATACCTCACCAATGATATATTGTTCTAGCCTTCTGTGTTTATTGCAGTGAACACTAACTTTGCAAGACTTTATGCTAGTTATCAAGAGAAGGATGCACTGGCCAACAATCCCCCAAATAAAATTGGTCATTCACACCTTTGCTGTTTTGGGGATATTGCTGTGTACAAATGACTGCCCCCATTCGCCCACAAAATACCCTACAATATATTCTGTGAAGTGATTTGGGTGTCCTCCTGACCTGAAAGGTGCTATACCAAATGTAAGGATTATCATCATTTTACTGTTGTTATCAGAGTGAGGTATAATCTGTGTTCAGTCTTTTTTTGTAGACCCAATAGATTAATTTAACTTTTGCAGAACATTAGAAATTTAAAGTTTTTTTTTAATGTTGTGGGTCTGAACGATATCTGTATATTTACAAAACTACAAAGAGCAATCAGTACTGAAAGCCTTTCCATCAGCTGTAACATTCCTATAGCTAATCAAAGGCCACCATGTCCCAGAAATCAGTCTTTTTGTTGATATTTAACGCAGATATATATTTTTAAAAAGTCCATTATAACGTTAACAAATTCAGACTCCTGTATTAGTAATGAAGCATTTCAGTGGCAATAAAGATTCCCTTGGTACATTTCAGGAGAGCTTCTTGAATTTTGATAGAGTGTAGGTTGATGCCATTATTTGTGTCCTTAGGATCCCACTAAGTGCAATATTCAGTGGTCAAACACTGTGCTTCACTACTAAATTGCGGGTGTTCGGGATATAATTACAGTACATTTGCTCAGAAACACTAGACAGGTGTAGTGTAGTGCCTAATTCATTTTAAAATTCTGGGTAAACACAAATAACACATTTCACTGATTAGATTCATGCAGCATTTACATGAAAAAACAAAACTCTGTTTTGTTGCACAGTACTTTGTCGTTGGATGTTACAGAAAAGCATCAGTTTACTAATTTGATGTTAGATAATTTATCCTCATATCTTCAAGGGTCTGTTTGAAGCCAAAATATAGAATTTAATTTTGAAATTACTCCTCTTTGGATGCATTGTTTTCAGCACGTTGTGCGATGATTGTAGGAAATTCAAACAGCATCCAAGGGAATGGTATCAATTACAGCTTTTATTACAATTTGTCTATATATATACTTAAATATTAAGAATATTATTAAGGTGGAGGAAATATTGAACTGATGGAGATGAATGCCACGTGGATCTCCGTGTGATGCTAGAAATAGACTGAACTGTTGAGCTCTCCAAAGAGAATATTTTGTGCATTCATTTGTGAAGCATTTCTATGCACCATATTATGATAGTTCTCAGGAGATAATACAGATTCTGACACACAGCAACTATTCTCTCGCAGACACCTATTCTTTTTTGAACATAAACTGCCTTTAATGCAAGGATTATTATTATTATTATTGTGTGTCTTCCTAAAACAGGTTTCCATCAATATTGCTGAGGTGAGGAGTTAATGAGGAGGATTGTATTGTAGAGTTCTGGCAGTTTTGCCTTTTGATTTTTGCTGAAGAGAGGCGATACATTGGCTCTTGAAGATCAAGTAGTAAAATGCCTGTTTTTGTTGTTGTGCTCTCTCTCTCTCTTAAGTTTGAGAAAAAAAAGGAGATAGAATTCCATATGCTTAGTATTTAGATAGTTTAGAAAGGTCTATTGGGAATCCACATGGTTTAATAAGCGTTTAAAGAAATTAAAATACATTGTTTTTTCTCATGAGCTAGAAAATAAGATATAATTTCATAAATATAATTTTTTCAGATTTATTTCTCTGAGGGTCATCAAGTCATTGCTATCATTGTTTGTAAGATGTCAAATATAATAAAAGGCATTTTGGAACTAGCAACAGCACGAATAATTAATTTGGAATATTACTTTATCTTTAAATGCACTGGACTCCATATCAAACCACCCTGATTGCTTAGAGGGAACAGTAACAGTAAGAATCCTTTATGTCATTTGGACATTAGAAAACTTTGTAAAATCCAAGAGAATTTGGAATTTGGAATTTGGAATATTCCAAGGAATATTACTATAAGTGCTGTTCAGTGGCGATATTCCTCTGAAATAATCATGTGGTATTTCAAGATATTTTGAAACTAAAATGAAGTTCCATTGCTGTGGAATTATTGAGCTGGCCTCTGAATCCTCTGAAGTGTTACTTGCTCTATGTTAATAACACATCAAACCCAAATCTAAGGCCGTGGTGAGAAGCAATGAATGCCATTTTCTAGTGACAAGAAACCAGCTCTTCAGTCAGTACATTCTGCCAAGCTGTCAGTGTTTTAACAATGAGACGGGACTGGAATGTATTACAATGGAACATTAACATTTTCGGTGTGATTTAAATTTTGATGATACCTTCTCTGTAGATTGTTCGAACCCAGACATGATTCACTGAACAGCATCATGGTAATTTAGTCTTGTCACTGAGGATTATTACAGGAATGTGACTGTACTTTCAGAGGCATCTGTTCACAACATAGCACAATCTGTCACTGAAATATGATGGCTACACCCTGATTGCTTAGTCTCTCCATTCCAGCACTCATCAGAATAGAGTTCAATTTATGCTTCGAGTCCCTAAAGATGTCACCCATGTCAAATCTACATTTGTGCAATGTCACACAATTTCTTTTGGGATTTATTTTCTAGGGACAATGCAGTTCAGTTCATGACAACCCCAACATGAGACTCAAAGGAAGAGTGTTGCCTGTGTGGCTGACAGCAATTGATTTACGTCGGGTTCTTTTGTGCCAAACCGCTACTTCACTTCTCTGACCAATTCAAGTCATGAAGTTGAGATTGTTACCTTGAGTTAGAGTTTGACAATGAATAATTGCACAGTTTAAGCTTGAGTTTGTGGGAGACTTGGCCAAGTGAGCGTAAGGTGGGATGGAATTGGAAGTCACGTTAATGCATGTTATTATGCACCCCATGGAGAGTTACTTGTTGTGTGGCTGCAGTAAGCGAAGATTTTTACATGGTTTATATCATTTGAATTGTGGAAAATTCTTAAATTAAGTCTTACATTTTTAAGATAAAATGACCTAAAGGATTAAGTGACCTCTGAGGGAAGGTGTCATGTTTAGAGACTTTTGTATGTGAATTTACATTTTACAGAACCAAAAATATTTAATATAATAATAAGTTAGTCACTTCAAAACGCGACTCTTTGTGGGACACTGCTCTGCAAAATTGGCTGCTGCGTTTCTCCCACAAAATATATTCACTTTACAGTATATTCTTTGAGACGTCTTGAAGATGTGATAAGGCGCTAAATCAAAGCATTATTGTTATATAATTATATTGTGCTGGTATGCTGCTTGAAAAGCCTTATTTGTTCCGATAGCTGCAGACTGTGTCTAGCACTGAAGGCCTTGATGTGAAGCGCAGAGCGACACACAGACAACGCAGGCTCCTATCTATTCTGGTCTTTACATTAATAATATGATAGGCAGTCCTCCTCCCTGGCAGTTTCTCTTAATTACTTCATTAAGACTGATATTGTTGCTCATTATTGCCTCGGTCAAGAAGCTCCCCTGACGTCAGGAGATAATAGAGTGACTTGGTCCGTTCATGGCTGAGCAGCTGTGGGATCAGTGGGTCCTACATCGAGTTGCTGCTGTTCATCCATTATTCCTGTGCAGAGACAGGCCAAGTCAAAGGTTGTTTAGGTACACTACCCAATGACGCAGCACCTGGATATTAATGTGTCAGAAACATTGATTAAATATAGATATTCTGATAGACGTATACTTTGGCGTTAGGAGGAATTTTGTACCGAATAAGATTTCAGTTTGCATTTTTTCACAAAAAATATTTGCAGCTGGTAACACCGGTGAATCCATCTGGCTCTCTAATTTTCTTACACTGCTCAGCAAAAATAAATTTGCGCAAAGCCCTTC